TAGGGTACTATATTAATGTCCCTCATTTTCGGAAACTCCCATGTTTGTTAATTGTATACACGTGGTCAGGATCATAGGGTCAACTCCCACCCTCGGCCTCCCAACCAAACGTAGCACTCGCTCTGATGTCGTGTCCCCTTCCGAGGGTTTAGGCTTGAGGCTTTCAGTTTCCTCATGGGGGAGCTTGATTTTGGACTTTTGGAATTTGGAGCTCGTCTAAACCAGAACCTCCGGTGTCGGGCTTGCGCGCCCCTCCCCAGAGCCCCGGAAGCACGGATAGCCCCAGTGCTTCGAGTTTCTTGAAAGGCTCCCATGGCCTAATAGGGGCCTTAATAATTACTTATTACTATAATCATAGTATAATGGGCCCCAAAACCCTATTCTAAGTATTAAGACCCCTGAAGTACCCTGACAGGTTTTGCATCGAAGGACTTCCTTGCGCTCAAGGTTCATACGGATGGCCGCGAGCTGGGCATCCTGAAAGGAGAGGCAGAATGCGTCAGGGTCGAAGGGTGGTTCAAGTAGTGTCTGTATCAGTATTACTATTAGTATTACTATTAGTATTAATATTAGTATTACTAGTAGTATAACTAGTAGTATTACTAGTAGTATTACTAGTAGTCTTAGTATTAGGGTTTAGGGTTTAGGGTAGGGTCAGCTTTTTGGATTTACGGTGGAGGATTCAGGGTTTGGGGTTCAGGGTTCAGGGGTTTAGGGTTTAGGGTATCTTGCAGCTTGGCGGATGCAATCCCTGTTTGAGCAACCGCAGCATAGCAGCGAAAGATTATTTCCTTTAATGTCCTGAGCTCCTAATGATACAGGTCTCTCCATGAACCCCAGACCCAAAGCCAATGACCCAAAAGCCTTGAACTAGCCCCTTAAACCCCCTTAATCATGTTCTGATGGAGGAGCTGCACAGCTTCTCCGAGCCGGCCGCGTGCACTTTGCGATCCTCCGCACGGAGGAGAAGGTGGGGCTCGGCTTATCCAGAGTTTACTTTTGGGGTTTGAATAATTACCTATACGACCTATACTATTTGGGGGGTTGCTTATTATAACTCCAGCATAATGGGCCCCAAAACCCCGTTCTAATTCTGAAGGCCCCTACATTATGATTGTGGGTTTAGGGTTTTGGGGCTTGGGCTTGAAAGGTTAAAGGCTCCAGAAGCAGATCTACATGTGAAGGATACTTGGTTTTGCAGAGCTGAACATGAAGGTCTGACTGAGAAACCCTTACGGTCCTTAATATGGTAGTAGTATAAGATGCCCCAAAACCCTATTCCAATTAAAGATTAAAGTATTCAAGGCCGATACACTGGAGTGCTGCAGGGACCCTAAAATCGCCGCGTCGTCAAGATTAGTCCAGAGTAGCGAGTAGTGGAAACCTACGCAGTTAATTATGTCGGGATAGATAACCTTCGACAGGATGCAGGCTGCGGTGCGGCTGAAAAAGATACCTTAAGTCCCATGTGTGGCACATCACAGCCGGCTCGGAGGCTGTACAACTGCAATCGTACAGCTCGAACCCCGTCTGTTAGACCAAGGTCTTCCAAAACTAAGCCCCTAAACCCTAAAAGCTTGAATTTCGATTCGGACTTGTTGCCTCATGATTTTGGGAGTCGGGTTCCTGTTGAGTTTGGAATGTACAGAGCCAACAGGTAGAGACTTCGAGGACTGCCCGTGGCCTCATCATCTTCATGTGCCTGTTCAACATGTGGTAGTGATCGGGCGCACTCTTCGAACTGCCTCAGTTGACCCCTGTGCCAACAAACAACACCAGTAGTCAGCCACTTCCTGTAGTAAAACCTCAGTTCTCCGCAGGCCGCATATCCCAAATTGAAAGCTAAACCTTCACAGCGAAATAGCATGGTCTACAACACACCAAAGACGTCTGACGATCAACCCGGAAGAAGTTAAAGCCCTTAACGCTACGACCCGACGACTTGCAAGCTCTGAGCACTGCGACCCTGAAACCCTAAGATCTTGGCTTAATGCTTAATTGCAGCGTCAGCGCCGCTTCAGAAACAGTTATTTGTGGGTTCGGGCACACTTGCTTTTTTAAATTTGAACCGCTACCCCGGATTTCTCAGTTTTTCAACCCGTGCGCTTGTTGTTCGTGTTTTCTGCTCGCACAGCCTTTCGACAGGATCAATGCCTTAAACCGGCTGAGTTCTTAGGCAGTGCTGCCACTGTACCCCCAGAGACCTTCAGAGTCTAGACTGCAGGCTTCGTAATTCGCAATCTCTCAAAACTTGAATATGCATGTCTGAAGACGCTATGTTTTTACTACATAAGGAACCCAAACACAGACCCAAAAAGAGATGTCACTTCCGGTGCTCCGGCCTCAAGCTCTGTAGCAGTTGGCATGTAGGTTTCCGCCTTCGTTGCTTTACGGATTTCGCGTGATGTAGGGTTTTGGCTTCTTTGGGCTTCGGTGCTTTAGGGATTTAGAGAAGTTCGGCTAAGTTTTGGGGTGTTCGGTTCCCCGACTAACGAGGCCTTCATAGAATGTGGGTGGGTATCTTAGCTTCCGGTTTGGCCTGCCGGGACTATACAAACCTGAACACAAACCTGCATGATCGCTTAGGGTTCCTTATTATAAAAACATAAACATGCTAACTATACAGTGACATACCCCGAAGCACTATCACTAGCCCTCAAGGCCTGGTTTGTTGTATCCTCACCAATGAAAGGAGCATTTAAATACAGGAACCCAGTTCTACTCACTTAGGCCCCTTGTGTCCCTCAGCTTCACATCTCCACACTTTGGCAGCTTCCGCTGGACTCGGGCGACTACCGGCCCCCTCTTGACGTGCTCCACCAGTGGCTGCGGTTCCCCGGCTCTGTCATATCTTGCAATTGGTGCAGGGTATGTCTTCGGAATCCACTACGGCTGGCTTGCAGCACTTTTACGGCTGTGGTTACGAGTTGGGTTTGTTAGAAGCGTTCTTTGATGTTCTGGAAAGTTTGAAGCTCATCCCATTGCTTGCAACTAGCTATATGCCACTATACCACATTCACAAATGCCGGGCATGGGCCTGCCCGACCTGTAGCCATAAACCACAAGAGCCTTTCTCCAGGGCTCTGAACTGTCAAGCCAGGATAGGATGTATTCATTTTCTATTGAGCTTCATCGGGGCATCTTATATATATATATATATGTAACGGCAACAGCAACAAAACCGGCCAATGCTCTTAATGACCAAAGCCTTTGCAAAGCCCAGGACGTCGGGACTCAGCCAGTTGTACACGGCGCGCGCTGTCCTGCACGAGGACTTGCGGTTTACATGCATGCATGCGCACATACATAAGTACATACATTCATTTGTGCATACATGCCTCCCTGCCTGCCTGAAGATACACGACTATACCCCTACACACCTTACCGTCAGTACAGTTTTACGCACATCCACACACATACACTTTTTCACATATACACGTACATGTACTGACCTATGTAGTTTGCATCCATAGGGTATCATTTTGTATGCCAAGAGTTTAGACGCAGGTGCTATCATGTACTACTTCCTGTGAAAAGCACCCCCCCCCCACCCTGCCCGACCCTGAGGCCTGGTCGCGTTGACTCTGAAGACCTGAACCCTCTTCACCTTTAAATCCCCACAACACCCGACACAGCGGCCCGAACCCGCCGCAGACGATCCTGGTGGCGTCTCCGAGACCATCGTCCCCCGGTCCGATGAACTTGGTCGCTCGGGCGCTGCACCTCGCCCACTGATATAATGCGTTAGTCTCGGGCTCATGGTGTTTAGGATGCAAGGTTCGGGGAGCAGCGTGATGGGTTTCTCAGGATTACAGGGGCTCTGTAAGGGTTGCCTGGTTTCTGGGTGGAACCTACAAAATGAGATCGAATTCTCCATTCTGCCGTTCATGGCGTTGTAGGTACGTGAGATCTCTTGTGCCATGAGCATACCAGGGGATTCGGGAAGCAAGCGTATTGCAAAGCCCTGTCCTCGAAGCAGAATCCTGACCAAAACCTACATGCCCAAGCAGCTTGTAGACCCGAGTGGAACTGCCGAGGCTGCGAAGAAACCTGAACTATACGATCTGGCCTGGTGCTGCGATCGGTTAACAAAAAGATTTGCTGCCTTCGGCCATGATGCCGGCACTGGCACCTGTAATCATGTAACCCTGGTAGTGGCACTGGCGACAGTCATGCAGTGATAACGATACTGACACAGCTCATTTGGTTTAAGCCCTGAACCCTAACCCTCAGCCTCAAACCACAGCTCTACGCCTCTGCGCTTCCAGGGTGTGGTCGAACTGAAGGATATAGGGCTGATCGAGTCGGTTCTGGTTCAGAATTTGGGGCTTGGTAAATATGGAGCTTGGTGGTATTGTCTAGGCAATGTGGGGTTAGGGTACAGGTTCTCGCGTGTGCTGATAGACGAGAGTACTTCCAAGTGTAGTGGCGCGAAGCCACAAACGAACTCCCAGCCATAGAACCAGCAAGGATTCTCCGAGACGCAGTAAAGGAATTAAACGCAAGAAGCATGGGACACTCGAGGGGGCACGATCTGGGTGCCCAAGCCCCTCACTGCCGCAGAGCATCAGCCAGCATGTAAGGAAACCTCCTGGCCGCAGACCCCCGCCAGAAGTTCGATAGTGTCTGTTCTTTTCTTCGGCGTTCGGCCCGAGACAGACGAAAGGTTACAAGTAGGGTAACTATACTTATAACTCATACTAGGGGACTTATAGCCCTGCTTGTAACTACCCCGGAACCTCCAAGTATCGTTATCACTGTATCACCAACGTCCAAACTCATGGTAGTCCCCTCAGCGACAGGACCCATGACAAGGCCCGAAGTGCTTGCGAATCCGAGTGGAAGCTGCAAGAAGCTACACGCCTTGCAAGCAAGACACCAGAAAGCGACATGAAGCAGAGGTAGGTGGTTCTAAAGCAACATTCACACTGCCAGACCCCAAACTATAGAAGCCCCGGAACCTCAACCTCAAACTTGGATACCCCACGGCTCCTGTCGCGATGCTGCGCTGCGCGCGTTGCTCTGGCGGGCGCCTGCTGGGGACGTACCAGCGAATCGCATGGCGCAAAACGCCCCAGGTCGCGACAGCAAAATCCTTTGGTGTTGTGGGAATCGTCGGGATTGTGATTACAAAGGGCAAAGCTGGCTTTACGGCTTCGGGTTGAGGGTGCGGGATGCTATGTGCTGGACTCCAGCTATATCGGTACATGTGTTTCAAGCAGCTGCGGAAGTTGCCCATTTCTTCCCGTGCACAAGCCCGAAAGTGTAGAAGAAGCCTTCGGCCAGCAATGCCTAAACCCCGAATCAGCTTCGAAACCCGGTTCTGGGGCTGAGGGTTCATAGCATATCGTTGTAGCAAGGCTTTACTGCTGTTGCTCGGATCTTGAATCTAGACCCAGCGTGAACGCGGTCGGAGCCTCTTGAAGCTTATGTATAAGCCTCAAAGACCACTGTAAATCTCCGTCACAGACTGTGCAGTGTACACTCTACAAAGTCCATTGCAAACCACCCTACACGACGGCAACGCAAACCCTCCACAACCCTTTGTGCATTCCTCACTGGGAGTTTCATGGGTAGTCATAAGTAGGGCTATAAGTCCCCTAATATGAGTTATAAGTATAGTTATCCTACTTATAACCCCACTTATAGCTACCCATGAACCTCCAAGCATAGTACAGCGTGGCATCGAGTCTTGCTCTGCTTCCCGGTTCTTCCGACACCGGCAGGGCTGTCGGCTCTGGGCGAGAGAACTGCGGCCCGCCGTGAGAGGACTAGCAGCGCAGGTGGGAGCCAAAACCGGTCCCGAAGGGTTCGCCATCGTATCTCCTGGAGCTGTTTCAGTGTATCTAGAAAGTATGGATCCTCGAAGACGCTGCTGGTCTTTCATTTTTCGTGCCTACAGTCTACATCACACGCCTCCTGCACGGGTACGAAGTATAAAACGCCAACCGAGTGGACCCACGGAAACTTGTGCAGTCACGAAGTTCAAGTTGATCCCCAAGCTTGGAGTTTGCATTCCAAGCCCCTGAGCCGCCGAACGAGCCCGAGGCGAGCAGGAAATGCAGCGCAACGACGCCGATGATAAGTAGACTTCAAAACCACTGAGCCCCCACTTACCCCGGAAGACTCGACTTTTCTGTGAGTTTGACGTCGTAGGTTTCAAGTTTTCGGGTTCGGCTGGCTTTAGGGGAGGGATGGTGTGTTGGGTTGAAGGTTTAGGGTTTAGGGGACTCCAGGTTGAATGTCCGGGGTGGTAACAGGAGCCTTCCGTTTCAAAACCTAAGCAACATATCGTTGTACTCGTGCAAGCTTCGAAAACCATGTAGCATGTGTCATATGTCCCTTTTTGATTCTGACACGCCTCACTCAAGCAACGTTGAAAATTAAGATGAGCAGTCTTGCAGTTCGAACAGCCCTGAAACGATTAAACCAAACACTTCAAAGACGAAGACAGGCCCAGTTCAAGCTCGAATATGCTTTCAAATTATGCGTCTTTATACCTACCATCTAAATAGTACAGGGCATTTGCAGCCGGAGTTGAACATTGAACCTCGCGGGATCTAAATGCCAAGCCCCATGAAGACCATGCAAGTCTTGTATTGAGGCTCCGATGCAAATCCAAAAAAAGGGAGGCCTCTTCCAGTTCTTAAGGCCCTGTTTGCCCTGGCTCAGGGTGATCCCCCGAGCTCGGCAGAAGAGGCAAACGAAGCGTCTCCGACGCTGAGCACCGAGGAGCCCCCTACTACCCCTGCACATCAGGCCGAGCGCAGAGACCCTGCAGAAGTCTTCATCTCCCAAAGCGCAAGAAAGAGTCAAACCCTATAGCCACTCAACACTAGACCCCATGCAGCCCAAAACCCTGAAACTCTGAACTCCGTAAAATCAGCCCCAAAGCTCTGTAAGGCCTATGGACTTATTATTGCCCCTGTGTAAGAGGGGCTTCTTATCGTCACACTGCTGCTAGGAGCTGGCGCTTATCATACCTCCGCGCAACTTCATTCAGGCCGGCTCCTGCACTGATCTCTCGCCAAGAACCCGGCTTCGTAAAGTTCTTATCCGAATCTTTGGCAAAGGTGTGACAGGGCTTTGTAAGGTGAAGATACTGGGTTTTGGATACCATAACAAGGCCAGGTTGCATGAGGCAACATAAGCCGATTTCCTTGTTATGTGAGTACATCCTAGTAGAAACATTAAACTGCAACAAGCACCGTCTAGGCTCGAGGCATTCTGCACTTTCGCTTGTTGGTGATAGAAGTGACTTCGATGCCTTTGGTCTTCTGGTAGCTCTGGTTTTGTAAGAACTTAGGAATGGACTGTGACTCTACAGCCTGCCGAAGCAGAACTAGCTTCTGTAAGAGCATCGAGCTCTTTGATGCAAAGCATTCTGGCCCTGGCCTGCAAGGCGACAGCCTGAAAATCGCCCCAACATGAGAAGCCGTTCACACAAGCTTCACGTGCCTCTGCAGCAAATCTGTGCAGGCCTTGCGGGTGGCTTCCTCGCAACCGCAGGACCGACACCAGCGGGCATTGAAGGGCTGAGCTCTTTCAGAGAACCCGAGAGCCTCAAAAGAAATGCTTGGCATCGTTCTTCACGAGAGTCGCCAAGGTTTCGGGGTGTCCCTGAATTCTGAGAGTATCCGCCGACAGAATAGAGTCTGCTCTGACACCGCTGCGCAGCTTCTTCAATTCATGAGTCGTTGAACCCTGCGACCATATGTCGCGCATTCACGTCCGCGCACCCTGAAACTGACACTACTAGACCGTGCAAGCCCTTGAGCCTTTCCCTTCAGCCAGAACCGTATGAGTCCCAAAACAAGCACCTAAAGCTTCTTCCAAAGCTTTGGGTAAAGTTTTGAAGAAGTTGAGGACGAAAGCCGCAAGCCCTACAACACAAGAACAAAAGAGCCATGGCAGTCGCACACCCTAGCCCTATGCTCCAAACACCTCAAACGCACAAGCTAAAGAAAACACCCAACAGAAATGCTCATCAGCCTAAAGCGAACTCTTGCGCCACTGCCGTCCCAAAACATTCAGCCTTACCTTTGCGCCCTCATAAACGGCTGGAGCTTTTGAAGCCTGTAAACCCTTCAGTGCTTCCAAACCCCTTTAAACTCGATCAAGCGGCATCTCGACAGATCCGAAACATCTAGCTGCCTTGAAGTCTACGTCTACGTTGGAAGACCCGAACCCCCACGCCTCCTAAGCCCACAGCCCGCGAAACCCGATACACTTAAAATTGCGAGGAGCTACGGAAAGCTTTCGACCGCCTTGATATCGACGAGTCGGGTCTCAGCCTCGGGTTCACAACACACAATACTGTTGTGACACGGTAGAGGAATAGCCGGAATCTGCGAAGGCAGCTTGTGCGTTTGGGTGTTACGCTCGCTGGTTTGAGGTTCTTTGTTTGCAGTCTTTTGCAGTCTTGACAGCTCGACTCACAGAGGCACGCTTTGCTTCGCGGAGCTTCGCGCATTGATCGCCGAGGCCAGACGAGTGTGTTGACGTACCTACGGGTGAAAGTCACGTCTTGCAAAACGCAGCACCACGACCCTTTTGGCAAGGGAAACTGGCTATTGCCATTCACATGCATCGACCGGCTACAAGTTTGCAAATCGGCGATCGCCCTCCCACGAAGAGCAGACAAACCCATAGCGTTTAGGAAAGAAAGGCAAGGTGAGTAGTTAATTCCTGGGGATCGAGGGAGATTTCTATCCCAAGCTTTCCAGGGCAACAGCCCAACACATCCCCGAAGCATCGACCCCAAACTCCAAACCACGGGGCTACCGACACCTTCGTTTTAGGGCTCAGGGTTGAGAAGCAAGGCTTTAGTAGCGTCCATCCTACATGTCCCAGTGGTATCCCCATAGTACGATGGTTGGAAGGAAGGCTGTAGGTGGTTTCTACAGGGTTGTAGAAGCTGCGAGGTTATTTCTTCTCTTGGCTCCTTATGCTACAGGCGAAGATTGCGAACACTGCTTATCCTCGTCTGAGCCAAGGAAAGAAATCTCACACCTGCCGCCTGGCCGTCGAGATTCACAAAAGGCTGAGGGACCGACAAACCCTGACCAACAAGACACGGAACGTGACCAGTTCATGAGAAGGGAAGGTGCAGTGACGCAATCCAATGCCACGTCTAGTTATCTCTATCTACCTATCTATCTATCTACCTAGCCATCTACCTATCTGATTGGCGCTTTTTGTGTTGCAGACGTTGGCTTCGTTCCGGCAGCCATGGCATCGTCGACGCTGCACGTGTGGATGGTCTCAGGTTCCGAGGTGGCATCCATCCCCGGGGAGGAGCTGTCGGATGTGAGGAGCCTGAAGCAGCGGCTTCAGACCCTCTCTGGGCTCCCAAGGTTCAGACAGGGGCTCCTCTTGGGTGGTCGGGTCTTAGAGGATTCTGAGATATTGCAAACTTCCGATGTTCAGCTAGTTTTGCTCCCCTATGCTGAGACCTCGCAACATAGAAAAGACAGGCTCGCAGCCTCTGCAGCCTTTGGCTGCTTTTCGGAAATTGAGGGGATGTTGCTGCAACGCCAAGATCCGAATGTAGTCGATTCAACTCTTGGTCTCTCGCCTCTTTACTACGCCGCCGAGCGTGGGCATCTCGAGATCGTACGCCTCCTCTTGGAAGCTTGTGCTGATGCGGACTACGGCGCCCGGCGCCACGACATCACGCCTCTCCTGGCGGCCTCGCGAAATGGACGCGTGGACATAGCGAAGTTGCTACTGGAGGCCGGTGCGGACAAACACAGATGCAACTGCCGAGGTGAAACGCCTCTTTGGGTGGCATCGTGCAGGGGCAACACAGACATCGTTCGCTTTCTGCTGGGAGCTGGGCTCAATATAGACCAGGCTGACAACAGTGGCGAAACACCCCTCTGCGTGGCGTGCCGTTTTGGTCGGGAGGAAATCGTGTGTTTGCTGCGCCAGGCAGGTTCCGACGTTTTCCGGACCAACAAAAGAGGAGACTCACCCCTGAGCCTGGCGGTCGGGCAGCGGACAGGGCCCGTTTGTTTACTTCTTTGCTGTTGGAGGCCAGCCTTGGCGATACTTAGCTTGCTGAGGAGACGTGCGGGACGCCGAGAAGCAGAGCTCAGAAACGGATAACTTCATGCTGTGCTCCCGATCTGCACCATACTCCACCTGTACCCCGAAGGTACAGCTGGCATCCAGAAACCCCAAACCCAAACAAGCTCTGAGGGTTAAGTCTGGCTTGGGGTTCAGCTCAGAATGGCTCTCCCAGCCCATCAAACCGTAGAACCCCAGACTTGGAGTTCGGAGTTGCGGTAAGGGTTGGGGGACCCGCTTAGGGGCTGGTGACTAATTAGTGACTGCGGGTACTGCAGTTTTCGGAATTCTGAAAAGGATGAGCCAGATGTCGAGTCTGAGGCTTCAGGAGCTCCCATGGAGTTCGATGATAGGTGAAGTCATCCTGCCCCATTGCCAGAAGGTGCGAACACATATGTGCATAGATGGCACATTCAGCCCAGTAACTCCTGAGCCGCCTGAATCCCAACTTGCCCCCAAAACTTCCTCGACCTAGGGCCTGTAAGCCCTAATCCCTTAATCGCAGAACCGAGTATATCACAGGTTTCAATCACAAACCCAATCTGAAGCTCATTGGGTACTACGCACTCTGATGACGGTTTAGCGTTTAGGGTGCTTCTGATTAGCAACTGATCTTTTTGTTGCAAACTAGACCCGAAACCCAAAACCCCGAACCCTCTAACCCTATCTGTTAAACCCCTGAACACTAAGCCCCAAACCCGAAACCCCCTGACCTCGACAGGTCAAGGGCCGCCACGCCACAGACGAGGAAAGGAAAAGCCTGAGCCACACCAGTGGAAGCGTCTTTACGGGGCTCTTAAGGGCTTTGGAGGTTTGGGTCTTTGTTTGGGACTTCAGGGTTTTGGGGTTCTGGATTCCGGGTTGTCGTGGCTTCAGTTCTCCAGGTGGCTTAGGAGTCTCCTTTTCTGCGGGGGGCGAACCTATATAAGATGTCGGGGGAACGTGCGGGATTCAGGGCTCGTTTTTTTGGATTGCAGATCCGAAGCGTTAAACTTCCAGCTGCAGAAACTGTGTGTCTTGGTATGTTGTTAAAGCTCCTGCTGGCGAGGAGTTTATTGTTCAGGGCTCAATAAGTTCAAGGACGGCCTTTGCACTTAGAGATTTCTGCTTGGGTCTTCGGGACCCGCGTTGCACGGCAGTCTGCAATCCCTGTCCCTGGCCATACCCTAAACCAGAGTTGACACTCGGTGTGTTCTTGGAGTTGCTGACTCCGCAGTAGACCTCTGAACCCTAAACCCTAGAGCCCTAAAGCCTCAGCTTTACCTGAAAGACTAAACAAGCTAAAGAGGTGCTGGACCCCGAGTTGTTACTGAAATGCTGAAAGCAGGAGCTCGATCGTGCAGTCGGAGCTCTTCTTGAGAGGCAGCCTGCCGGTGAGTTTCTTGGGATTTGCGATGCTTGGCGGGCTTTGGGAGTTTAGGGATTTAGAGGGGGTTAGGGCTAGGGTGGTTTTCGGGTTTGAGTTTATGCGAAGGATTTATAAACAGTGGTTCTTGGTTAAGTCTCGAGGTGGAAGTCGATGTTATTTGAGAGTTGGAGGTTGAACCGTCCGTGGCGCCTGGGACCTCAAGCACTCCATAATTATGCCGATAGGTCCAGCAGCCTAGAGCCAAGGTCCCTGCTGCGAACCTCCATAAGCAAAGCGTGAACCCTCCGTCCCAAACCTTTACGCCCTAAGCCCTCCCAAGCCCTGGAGCATGGTCTCTGCGCCTCTGACCGTACAGCACTGAACCTGGCACAGGTATGATCGGGGTAAGGACGGTGCGCTGAGCTTCAAGGAGTTCGAAGAGGTGGGTATTTTAGCATAGGGGGGCCTCAACAGACTTACGCTACAGTCCACTTGTGTAGTGTTTCGGAGGGGATACTAAGAACACCAAATAAGATCAGAACCATCAGAACCTTAAACCACACTGGGTTTCCGCTGGTGTTTTGAGGGGCATTCCGTAATGCAGTCTCGTTGGGCTTTGCTAGCTTGGGAGTCTTCCGAGTCTTAGGGTCTAGGCTGCCGCCGCATATGACGTGAAGCAGTTGCAACTGCATTTGTGCCCAGCAGGTTGCATGCCCCGCACAAGAACAGGTACTAGGAACAAGCACAGGTGCTTACATCCTGGAGTTAATCCTGAAGCTCATGCCCACTAAATCCCCCACTGTGATCTGTTTTATCCTAGTTTTGCCTAAACAGGCCGTCCTCTCCATCGCCTCCCCGGTAGATCGAAGAGCGTGGCTTGGTTGCAAAATGTAGCCTGCAGTCCCAAGGTGGTCCTGGTGATGATTGAGGGCTTTCCGGCTTCTGTCCCGGATATAAGTATGCATTGCACAGACTACATTTCTATGAATGAACCGACAACCTAAACTCTGATGGGCTGACGCCTGGAGAGTCGAGGGTTTTGATTCGAGCAGAGTTCTGTAGAAGAGTCTGGGGTCATGGTGTTTATGGGGTGGGTTTGGGGTGTATAAACTTCTGGGCTGATGGCACATCTTTCTGCGTGGCAAGGAAGATCGGTGCATGTTTGCATGCATGTGTGTGTGCAGACAATCAAATGTCTGTATGTTTGGGAAAGTTTCTGCAATCTTACAATGCCTCGTCCATAGTGGTTTGGCCTAAGCATCCTTCTTGTCACTAGGCCTCTGAGAATCATGTGTATCACAATACTCATTTCAAAGCATCTACCAAACAGAGATCGAGAGAGAGAGTGTGTGTGCGTGTGTGTCTTTGTGATACGTATCTATATGCGTAAATATGCATGTATATTAATATACATAATATACACATTACATACAACTTTTTTTATGAATGACCTTGGTCGCCGACCCTGCCTTGACATACCCTTGATATGGAAGGTATGCCCTGGCTGCAGCAATAGGCTCGGGCTTTGGGTTTGGGGTTTTGCGGTTTCGCGTATGGCGAGATTCTGCCGCTTCGGTTGTAGGGTTCAGCATGCGTGGCTCTTTCGGTCTAGCACCCGCCAAGGGCAAAACCTGACGGTCCCTGAGCAGACAGACCTGCGTGGAAGCCTTGGCCTAGGCTGCTGATGCAATTCCTCAAAAGCCCACTCGTCCCAGAGCGCTCTGTGGGCACCGGGCCATTTGGAGTCTCGGATGTTTGGGGCTCCAGGGTGGACTGGTCAGGGAATTCTCTGTCTCATCGCTGCCGGAGGCATAGCCTTTGCTGGCTTTTCCGTCACCTTTCCGAGCCTTAGCTGGGATGTGCTGTCTTTCGCCGGGATTCGGGGGGCTTGCGTCGATTCCAGAATGAGAACAGCGATTCAGTGAACCCCAAGGAACACGATTGCTTAATGTGTTCAGGCCTCCATATCACACGCCTGAGTTCGGGCTGGGCTTAAAATTGTGGGGTGCAGGCCTGGGGTTTCAGACTTGCAGGGACCCAATGTCAAGGAGCTTCGGATCCGGGGCTTCGTGGGGATGTGCACACCATGTGACGGGAATCAACATTACAAGGAACTAGAGTTCTTACTATGTCACTGTGTCTCCCTCTATTCCACGCAGACCACCGATGCTGAACCCAGATTGTTTGTAACGCTCAGCCCTGAAACCTGAAGACTTGACCTCAACCCCTCCCCCGTCTGCAACTCCGACTCTTCAGATCGTGTGAAGCGGAAGTCTACAAATCCTCAAGTTCTGAACCCGTATCTACACCCTATTCCCGAGACGAAGCCGTGAAAGCACCGAAGGATGGGTCCAACGTTGATCCAGACTTTTGGGATGTCGCAGCTGCAGTTTGGAACGCTGACGACAGCTTTCGCCATTGCAAAGTTGCTGGGTGTAATATAGGAGGCCATTATACATTGGGTATTCCCTTCTTCCCTTCATAGCAAGCATGTAGCCTATCCAAAATTGTTCTAATCAGTACGGCCCCTACATTAGAGTGCTTAACCTTTTTTACGAGGGTTTTCTGCACCGACCGACATCTTCCGGTGAGGCTGTTGGAGGCAGTGACGAGGGTTTTAAGCGTAAAGCTTAGGGTGCAGAGCCAGGGGTGCTCAGGCTTTCGAGCTTTCAGGCCTTGACTTGCTGAAGTCTTCATGCTTGATGCACGGGCGTTGGCTTGCGAGGCTGAGTTTTTGGTGACTTGGATCTCTCATCCGATCTTACTGGTAGCTCTGGCCAGCGCAGATCTTGGCGCCTCATTCGTTGAGCCTCTACACTCTAGCCTCTACCTCAAGTGCCAAAGAAGGGACAGGTGAAGTTAACACAGAGTCTTCAACCGACAGTAGAGTCACTAGATCTGCCGCTCAGCTACTGTCCCATGCAAACTTTCGGTTCCGATAGGGTGTAAACATGAACTTCAACACTTTGGGGGTGACGTAGCACAGGCTGTCCTCCAAAAAAGCCAAACCCAAAATTCAAAAGACCCTGTTTCTCCAAACCCTAAGCCATCCTCGCCAAAGGCTTTGTGGGAACATTCCGTCGTCAATCCTATCAGAGGCGCATCTTATGCGAGGGAATTGCATGATGCCCTCAGGGCCTCACCATCACCATCTCGGGGTGTGCGTGTCTCCTTTGAATGAATGTGTGCAGTGGATGCGCTCCCCGATGTGTTGACAAGGGTCAGCTTCTCTCCTCCACCAAGCAACTTCGGTCACATCATAAATGAACTCGCGGCAGACTCAGGCATGTCCTGTGCAAGAATTGAGCCGTCACCCATATATACCTGTTGTCCAACGAGTTCCGTTCAGCGCTTGTCGTCCAACGATCAGGAGCCCCAGCGGGAAACTGACATCCCCAAGGTCCATGTGAGCTATTTAAGAGTGCCCCCATCTCATTTTCAAAATTTGATTCCTGCGCTCGAAACCCCAAGCTGAATTCGGGTACGAGTTTGCACCACAGGCCTATGGACGCAAGCCGCTGTTAGTTGGCGGCTTGCTCTCGATTGCCACAGGCGGATGAGGGACCAAAGACATGAAACCTCAAGAATCTATGCTTAGGTGCTTGTCGTAAGCTCCCAGCACAGGCAAGGGCACCTCGAAACTTAGACCCTGCATCCCGAAGGAAGCTCCAAGCTCCGAACCCTGAAAACCCTCGAAAGATGCTGGTGGGTTCGGGACGTGTTGGCAAAAGGCTGCTGCTGCGAGAAGTTCTAGCCGGTCGTACTTTCAGTCAGTTGGTTCGATGAACAAACCAGTAGTCCGCAACCCGTGCTAGCATGACCTTGTCCTGCGGCTTATCCTCTTTTCCCTGGTTGGTCTCCGGGTTTTGTTGTGCCTGGTTCTGGACTTCCCTAGCCTTAGGCGTACATCTCAGGAAACTGCTTCACGAGCTTGTACGGTTTAGGCTTACTGGCTACGGTAGTTCGACGTATGGGCTTTGTGTGGTTGCTTCAAGGTCACGAACGGATTGACAGTTCCAGCTGTCTCAGAGCCTACGCTCAAGCCAAGTAGCTGTAAGTGCTGGCTCCGATATCTGGATTTCAATACTGTTCGGTTGCTTTGCTGTTGAGTGTAGGAGGTTGAGCCCTGTTGACAGGGGTAGTTCCACGGGTGCAAACTTGTCCATTTTAGATCATGCTGAAGTTGCGGGCCATCCAACAGATGCCGGAGATATCGCGGTCGACCTCCTGAGCTATAAGAGTGACTTCTGGCACAGCCGAGGCAAAGCAGCCCGTTGGCACTGACTTCCATATTCGTCCTGCTTGACATCTTGATGAGCCTCGCTCCGGATCTCAGTTCTCTGTCATGGACCTTGTCTACGGCCACCAAGCCCCGGCTCCATTCCCAGCCTGCCCTCCCTCTGCCCTCCCTCTCCAGGCTGCCGTCCCTCCCAGTCCCTTCCTCCCCACCCCTCCCCAGCCTGCCCTCCCTCCCCACCCTGCCCTCCCTCCCTAGCCTGCCCTCCCTCCCCATATTTCCTTCATCGGCTCTTTTCCCACACTTTCTTCATCGCTGCTGCCCACAGGAGGCCGTTCCCAGAACACCCTCCCTTCCCAGCCCCACGTCCAGTCTTCCCACCACGCCTTCTCTGCCGAAAAGCTCCATTCCCAGCACGCTCTCCCTTCCCAGCCTCCCGTCCATTCTTCCAACACGCCCCTCTATGCCCACACCTTCCTCTCCCAGACTTGCTTCAAAGCTACTGCCCGCAACCACCAACGCCGGCTCCATTCCCAGCATGCCGTCCCCCATTCGACCCATTCCAAGCGAAAGGAAACGTGGGCGATCTTGTTTGTCTTCTACCAGCGCTGGGTCATCTACGTTGCAAACAGTCGAGGACACCGATGTCACACCCAAGCCGGCAAAGCGCCGGAGGGCTCGGGTCATGTCTTCAAGTTCTGAGTCTTCTGGAAGGCACAGGGCCGGCGAAGAAGTCAAGCGTCGACTTGAGCAAAAGGCACTGTCTCGGGAGCTCGCCACAACAAGAGCGAAGCTTGCAGATGCCGAGCTTGCCCTGCAAGATGAACGAGAGAACAGAACGACCGCGGCAATCGAGCTAAATCTGCAAATCGCCCCTTGGAAGCAACTGGCAGTTGCCGAACACCCGTTTGATTAAATACAGACTGCCCAAAGTGGTGCACTTGTATGTTGTCTTCTAGGTGCGAATTGAAGTGAGGTTGGGCTGCAATGTGACACGGCAACACTGCGAGCAAAGCTGACCGGAGAGGAAAGCTTGCGCAAGCACGCCGAAGCAGAGTCAGAGGCCGCGAAAGAGCGCTTGCAAGATCTGGCAGCTCGGCTTTGCTGATCCGGGTCACCATGGCACTTACAAATTCATGCGCAGACACATGCGCACAAACATACATCACATGCGCAGAGAGACGCACAGACACAATCACAAGCAAGCAAAAACGCGAACTTGCGTACATGCACGCCTAAAGACTGACCCAAACACAAACCTGTACATGACGCTGGAAAAGCTTCGATTCGGAAGACAATGTAAACAGAACAACACTATGATGGCACCATGAAGCCAGTCGCCTGCCTATATGTCTGTCAAAGTATGCAAAGTACACATGTTTTGCTGTAGTAAAGCCTAACCACTTCAGTATTGCAAGCATGCATCCACGATCTATTCCGGCAGAGGTGCTGAGGGTCCTGAGGGTTGATGGCCTCGCACGAGAAGGATACTGCCCATGAACTTCTGCGTACAACCTGAAGATTGTACACAAAAAGCCGGGCTCAGATGAGAAATATGTACGGTCCGGTGGTTGTGAGGTTCTGAAAACGAGGGTTGAAGTTCGGGGTTTCCATGCATGAGGATTCTAGCATGGGTTTACCTGGTCTAGCGGGATCTGGACCTCGACCAAGCTGAGAGATGGAACATTCAGGGATTAAATCGGATGTAGTTTGCATATACGCATATATATATATACACATATACTTATACATTTGCCCGGCCAAGTTGTACATTCTGTGCAGATTGTGGACCGTCTTCGAGTGTATGCACTCCGTTGTAGCTCTAGAGATGCCTGAGAAACTTCGCAGGTTCACCAGTGTCGTGTGTGATTTCTGTTTGTTTGGTTCGAGTAGGAACACTGCACGGATACCGGACTTTGGGATCGGTACAGGGGAGCACCTTGAGCACAGCTAAGGAAGCAAGGCTGCAAGCCGCCGACGATGCGCTTGCCAAGGAAAGAGAGCAGAAAGAGATTGCTGAGAAGAAGCTTCTCGATGTTCAAGTCCAGAAGCATTCTGGTGGTCATGGTGCTTGTTGGCAATACGAGATGGACGGTCATTGGCACCCGTTCTCAACTGAGGGCAACGATCAGATGCAACAGGCATACCTGGCATTTATTGAAGATGCACAACAGGGTCGCTGGGCAAATGTTGTTGCCGGAGGAGTTCCACGCATGGTCGATTTTCAGCAGATGAAACAGACTAATGCAGACACGGGAAAGAGGCGAGCGATTCGAGTCGTTACCGGAGTGCCTTCACAATGGGAGAGTGCCGCTGCAGCTTTGTTGACACAGCGTGATGACCTGAGATCCGTTTATGTCAGGGTCCAAGATGCATCACTAGTTGAAGTCGTCAACCGCCTATTGCGGTCGTCAGGACATGCCTGGGATGCGTCAACAGTATGCTCGCATATGAAGAAAGCCGCAGTGAAATCCATTCATCGGATCGAAAACTACCAGCTTTGGCAACGCTACCAAGCGAGACTGCGCACCATGAGGGAAGACCGTGCCAAGTACAATGTGCACATAGAGCCTGCAGCACTTGATCTTGATGGTCGTGAGGGCGTTATGACTGAGAGTCAGCCCTACTTGGACTGTGGAGAGCCGTTGGCACGCGACGTAGATGAGAAGATATTGCTACATGGCACGTCGTGGGACAATGCTGATTCCATTGTCATGCATGGCTTCGACAACAGGACCTGCATACGAGGGATGTACGGCGATGGTACCTACTTCGCGGGTGCTGCATGCAAGAGCCATCAATATTCCTGTGTGTATCAGTGCGGCCGGGGTTCCACCTGCCGATGCGAGAGGACACTAATAATAGCACGTGTTGCGCTCGGCGATGCTTACCGTGCATCTGAAACCCGGTATGGAGCGAGGAGAGCTCCCAACAGGAATGGTGCAAAAAGTACACATGGTTCGGTTGTGGTCCATCCTGGACCAGTGACGGGGCATAAGCAGCCCCTCCAAGTGCATCAGGAGTTTGTGATTTTTGATCGTGAGCAGGCGTATCCTGCCTTTGTCGTGCAATACGTGCCTTGACATTTTTCACGCAAGGTGCAGCATGGCGACCAAAAGGTGAATCGCGCTCGCTTGCCAGATGCCTGCGTGCATCGAGAGTCAACCGCCCCACTCCAAGTCCGTCATTCAGTTTTATGTGACACCTAACGACGAGCATTCCAACCAAAGGGCGCGAAGTCAATGTGCTTGGCAAAGCCTCAATCTCGTTCAAGTGCTTGAGAACATATTGCAGGCGAAGAGCGCACATACTCAACAGAAACTAACTCTAACCATCGTTCGGCGCAGGTATCGCAGGGGTGGCTTTTGCGAGCTGCTATGAGCAGCTCATGGTGCTGAGGCACAGTCTGTCCATTCGGCGTTCACAAGGTGCTTGTAAGGGCCAGATCCCTTAGTTCTATTAGGGCTCACTGATGTGTTTGATGTTAGGTTCTTCGCAATATCCGCGTTCAGGAGTGTCAGTGCTGAGCCCCTCTAGTGCAAAGATTGAGCATGCAGCCAAAATCGGCAACGTCATTGGGGAAGGCTGTAGCTTCGGATCAGAACCTGCGCTTAACGCTACATGGCCTTCTCCATTCAAAACTCAACCTTGCGAAATGAACCGACGTGAATCAGTCTGAAACCGAGATACAATTATGAATTCCTAGACTCGAGGCTTGCGTCTGCACCCCCCAAAGAATGCTTAGCTCGAACCTTTTCTACCGTAAAGCCTGAACGAAAGCTGTGGCACCAGGAACTTCCAACCAGCACACCCGAGGCCATAAATTCTGAAACCACAGAGCCACCTGAACACCTATGAACCTTTGGCAAACTGGCGCACATTCGGCACAGAACCTTAAAACCCACTAAACCATCCCCTAACATCATCTTTTGGTGCTTCAGGCTGGCCGTGGGCCTTGGCGTTGCCTCGACCTTCACCTCGGCAGGCCTTGGATTTAGGGTTTGGGTTTAGGGTTTAGGATTTAGGATTGTTGGTTTCAGGAACCCTAAGAGGTGACACTTTAGGCGTAGTACGTGACCCATAAGGGTCGTTATTGGCATGTCCATATGGGCATTTAAAGATCTTGATGCCTGACTCTATAGGGTTTGACGGACACTTGAATGTTCATCGTGAAACAGAGGATGTTACGGGCTTAGGCTTTAGGGTGTGAGAGTTTGAGAGTGTTCGGGGCTTGACAGTTTCAGCCTTGGTTCAGGTTTGGGAACTGGGGTGCGAGGGTTTAGGTTTGAGGCTCAGTATATCGAGGCTAAGCTTTCCCTGCTTCAGGGCGCTGCAGGTATCAACACACAAAACGAATTCAAGGCCGCCAGCAGGGTCGGAAGCATACACTATGCGAGGATTCTCCATACTGACAATGTCGGAACATCTTTGTTGTCTGCGCCTATGAGGCATGTACGTTACGGACATCTCCCACCCGCTGAATTCGGCACGTACCCGGGCTCCGATGCTTTGTCTGCAATCACCAGCTCAGTGGGCTTCCGATCTTCGGGGAAGCCTGAACCTGCAGGGGTAACGCAGATCCGTGGGGCAGCATCAGAAGCATAACCTACTCAAAGCACCCGAAGATCCCTTCAAGAATCCTCCCCAGGTTGGACATGAAACAGGACCGCTTGAGGTTGAGGGTGTAGGGGTTCGCAGGGTCATGAAGAACATCAAAACGATAGCTCAGACGGCTTGGGTTTGGAAGAGGCTCTGGAGGGCCCTGGCGGCTTGCCACACTAGCGCTTGCAAAACAGTCAGTTGAGAGAAGCTAAGCAATGTCGATACCCGGTAGATCGGGGGCATAGGGTTTGCAAGTGAGCCGGAGGAGGCTTCCTCGCGACACGGGATACCCCAAGGCCGAAAGTCTAGCCTTGAAGCTGCATCGCCGAGGCCCAAGCTCGAATCTCATCGAACCATGAAACTTAATCTCTAAACCTCAATCCTCAAACCCACAGCCTTAAGATGTTGAACCCTAAACCCTAAGCCTTAGGCCTCAAACCCTTAGCCCTAGCTCCCACACCCCGAACCACACCAAAAGCTCAGGATGCAGATGGGCATGTCTGCGGGCTTGCTCTGCGGGCCGGCGCTTGGAGGTCCCTTCGCCTGCAGGAGTCGGGCCTTGGTATGGATACAGGGGGCTTGATCCGGCAATACAAGTTCGATCAAGGCCTTCTATGAATGGATGTAGGAGGGGCTTATAAGGGTTGCATTAGAGCGTTCAAGATTTGTGGGTTTGCGGGTGTCTCAGCTCAGATGTGTGGTTTAGATGCCAAGGAGTTTCGGTGTGCTGGTTTCAGATCTTCTGGGTTCAGGGTTCATGCAGGTTTGGGTTCCTGGCGCATCTGCAGTCTCAGGATTTCAGGGCATGGTGTTTAGGAATCAGAGTTCAGGTGTAGAGTCAGGGCTTTGGGATTTGAGGTTTTTGAGTTAACTAGGGTGTTTGGGCTTCGAGGTTACTACTCTCAGTTGGTTTCAAGTATGCACCGTGATATGACCTTCAGTTTAAGCGCATCAGTAAGTGTCAAGGCATATCATCGGACTCCAAAACGGCCATAATATGGACATGATATGTCGCGTCCCTTGTCGAGGGTTGCTCTTGCGCGCTCTGAATTTGGAATACGTTAGTTTTAATAAGCGCACAACCGTTTTTTGTGCGACTATGACGCGCCACGGAGTATTGCCTCTACGATCGCCACCGCCACTACCACAAGCTGCCTAGTCGTGAACGCCTCGTGTTAGCCTTCGGTTCTGAGCCGGAATGGGATTGTCAAGAAAACCAGGGTACGGGCCCGTGCAAGAGGGATCCCATGTTTTCGGGACTTATTCCACATGGAGTTCAGTTTCACCCCTTGAAAAAGTTTGAAGCCCCGAGACCCTAGACCCTAAGGTTACCTCCTGGAGCACGTGGGCCTTTACTCGATGACTCTGGGGGTCGGCGCTGCCTCCTTGGCCACGGCCACGGCAGTGTTCGCCACGCTTCCGGTTACTTGGCCATTTGGGTTTTGGGGCCTTACGGCTTAGATGTACACATTCGGGACAACTGTAAAGTTCACTTCACTCGTTGGTTTAAACTGATAGGGAACCCTGAGTTTTTGTTCTAACAATTTTCATGGCTTTTGAAATTATCTGTACGGTGCAGGCCCGGCCGCAAGACCATGCAGCCACATATACCCAAACTTCTGAAACCCTAAACCTGGATATCCAAACCATGCAGAGTGAACCCTTGACGCTGAGACTACGTATACCACGATCTCGCTTATCTCATAGATCCCCTTGATTGGGTTTAGATGGGTCTTGCCTACGTATGTGTTTCAGCGGTGTTGTCAGTGCTAGCCTGAAACCCCAAAAGGCCAAAATGCGATGCTCCCAAACCGAAATCCCCAACCCCAGACCCTTCAACCCGAAACCACAAACGCCCGTAAGCCCCAACCCTTAAGCCCAGAAACAAACGCCTGCAAGCTGGCTTTGGTTTTGCTTCCCAGGAGACTCATCGGGGTTACCGAGACAAGAGGCCTCTGAGAGGCGCTGGGACTCTCCTTGAGTTGGGTGCCTGCATGAGTTTTCGGTTTCAGGTTGCTGTGTTTTGGAGTTCGGGTTCTGGTTTCGGGTCGGATACAGTGCGCATTTTGCGGTTTCGGGCGTCGGGTTTTGGTTTACGAGGGTGTGACGTTCAGGGCCCTGGGCGTTGCAAACAAAGCGTCCCTAGAAGGTCCAGGTACCTAGCCCTGTGGGCACTATCGGCCACTGCGCTGCGCTGAAGGGTCTTAGAGCCTTAGAGGGACCGCAAGGGATCCAGAGCTGGACGTGTCAGCTCTGGGCTCACCCAGTTCGGGTTGCTAGGAGAATGCCGGGATTGAATATGTCGATGAGGGATCTCCGTCCCACCTCCAAAGCGCTCGCCTCAACCAGCCTTGATTGTAGCTCGCCAACTCGAACATCACCCTACAGAAGACCAAAGCCCAAAAGTATAAACCGCCGAACACATCCGCAATCCCTCAGAACACCCGTGTCGACCCTACAAAACCCAGAGGCGTCGGAGACACCCTGCGGTCCTGGTCCCCGATACTTCGTGGGCAGCAGTTCCGGTCAATCCTGTCCTTTGGCTGGTGCTACAACGCCGCCTTCTGGGGCGTGACTGGGCTGAAATTCCGGTTTCTAAACTTGAGTGCCTTTGCCCTCCCGCTGACAACTAACGGTGGGCTTTCTGGGCCGGGAACTCAGCAATATTTAGGGGTGTGGACGCATTGTCCATGATTTAGAACCCCAAGCCCGAAACCCAGAAAACAAAAATCGGTGAGAAGGCCGGAGCCTACCTTGCCGTCTCCGGAGGTGTGGGGTTTCGAAGTTCTGGCAGTCTGGGTTCGGTTCAGGGTGTAGGGGTGTGAGATGTTTGGATGCAGGGCTCAGGGAAGTAAGGCAGTTCGCTTTGGCAAGAAACCGCATGAATGAGCCAGCAGAATATGAAATCAGAGTCTTTGACAGCGCCAGCGTCAAGGCTTCCTCAAAAGTGCTCACGACATTCGATCTGACCCCCATTCTAAACCCTAAACCTCAAACGCCCCAAAACCCAAAACCCCAAGCCTCTCAAACCCCCTAAAACCCTAAACCCCCCCATTCTGAACCCTTTCATCCCAAGAAGACCTCCTTCGAGGCCATGGCCCTCCTCCCTCTGGTCTACGTGGATCTCTCCTTGAGCCCCTCTGTGGTGGGCGGCCTCTCCACCTTCAACGCCATCGCTTCCCGGCCTGGTCACGTAGATGTAGAAGCCGAAAGTATGAAGTGAGTAGTTATAAGTAAGTACATTATGTACATATATATATATATATATATATATATATGTAAACACAAAAAGTACACTTCAATGTAATGTAGTTAGTAAAACTTTTGACATAGTCATATACACATACACATGCACATACAATCACCAGCACATAATGTATACATGTACATATACGTATACGCATACGTATACATATAAACATGTAAAATGTATGCGTAGATATAAATAAGACTGCGTCAGTGTGTGTTTGCATATGTTACACACACACGAATGATAGTGTGCAGTGCATGTGTTAGAGATGTAGTTAGGTCGTTACGATATTGAATAATAAGCCCCCCCCCTCCCCCAAGTTGGAGTTTCACCGCGGGTATCGTGAGACCCCAAATCTTCAGGAAAATTGGGACGGCCCAAAGATTCCAGGATTTTTTGGTCAGCATGTCTTGAATGTTATCGCTGAAAGTTTCTAAATTTTTCACGGACGCGAAATATCCCTACAATTTTGGAGCTGGAGCGGTCCCTTGTCCCAAAATGTCAGGAAGATTTTGGGGCTGGAGACGCTATGAATGCCATCGTCCGCTGGATGAGTTCAGCTGTCCGGAGCTATAGGAGTAAACATGCAATAGGAGTACAAGAACTGTTGCTCGGAAGCAGTTTAGTTCTTCGAAAGAATTTACCACATGTTTTGCACAACAGGAACAGGAAGATGACGAAGCACACTAGCATGATTTTGCACATTCTTGCCGGACTTTTTTTTGCTTGGAAGGAATGTGTTTCTGGGAAAGAGTTTTTATGACTGTGAGAACGACTAAGCTGCGCAAGTTCGAAGTTCGTGCCATATCAGGAATAGCATCATCCGCACATGCGATCCTGACCCTAGACTCTAAAACTGGAATCCCGACCCCTAAACCCACGACACTCCCTAGACACGTGGGTAAAAACCCGCAACCTGCAACTGGCTCGGGCGCGCCTGTCGGATCCTGGACGGAGGATTGCAATCTGGCAGAAGGACGTAAAACATCTGGGAAATTGTGCTGCCTGCTTTCAGCACTTCTTGCAGACAGTTGGCCAAAGATCACTCCGCTTGGTGCACCTGGGCACCTTCGACGCTTTGCTAGGAATACCACCTCTTACAATCGCTGCCAGTATTAATGGCTTGGAGTTGGCCCTCTTTTTCTTCGTGTGATGGAGGATACGCAGCAGATGCTCGTGGACTTCATCGTTTTCCGCGTCGCCACGAAGACCTCCTGAAACTTGCTGGGGATGGTAACCGCTTCCGTCTCACCAGACGATATGCGCGAATGTTTGCAGGTGGCGATCATACTGCAGGACCCAGCGCGCCCGGAGCATCATCCTCTTCGGCGCGAGTCCCACATAGGTTGCGGGAGTCTTAGCACCTTTTGAGCTCATCGATGACTTAAGCGCCAGCAACACAAGACATTTTCGAGGATCCACGAATGTAGCTCCGGAATGCCTCAGAGGCATTCTCTCCGTTCCAGGCACAGCAGAGCGTTCCTGCATTTGTCGAGTGCGCTTGTGGCGCCGCCCCCACCATCGTCATGAGCAGCGACGCATGCCAAGCCCAGAACAAAGCACTTTCGCTTGCGCCAGGCTACTGACTCCGCAGTCTGCACGGCTCATCATGGATCGGATAATCGTGATGCGGCGCCACATTCACCTTACACGAATCGCTATGATGCTCAGTCGAAGTCGTAAACAGCGTTCGATTGGTACTAAGTAGATATACAGATATACAAGTACGGCTACAATGTACATGACTACATACCAATCATATGATATAGTATACGTGTTATATCCATGGCTATACACAGATATACTATATACTACTACTTACTTGTTAAATATGCTTCATGAAATATGTTGTATGCTTCATATTATGTGCATATTGTATACAAAAAAGTTTAGACTATATATATGTATATATATATATATATATATATATATATATATATACCTCATGTCAAAGATGTTGTATACAGTAGAAAACGATGGACTACATTTGCAAGACCATTTTATATAGCATCTATTTTGCATGTTATACTATTGTTGTATTATGTAACGTGTATTCTTGAATCTAGTGTACATCATGTGTACATGTGTATGCTTGTCTCGGAGTTGTTTGCCGATATTATGTTTTCCGAACTCGGCATCATGGCTTGTATGGTGAGTCGTCTGCGTGCATGTGCATTTCGCGTCTTGGGATGAAGAGTTTTCGGCACTCGGTGTTCGGGTGCTTCCAAGGTATTTCGACTAATTATACAGGTTTTGTCTTTCTGATTTGTGTGGCTCTGGATGACTGCATATAGCGGGGCTCGAAGGGTCCGCCTACCCCCGAAGGTCCGAAGGTCATGATTTCGAATATGTGTGTGTTGGAGACCAAAGTGTGTTAGTCGAAGGAATTGAATCCTGAAGTTGCACTAGCTTCGAGTTATTCTGCACTTGCGGCCATGAACAACCCTCACAGTACCCCTTGTCGATTGAAGCGCACTGCCGCACCACAAACCCAATAGTGGCACCTCCAACTCTTCGCCTGAACCCGAGTTGTCTCTGTGGCTCAGGTCAGCCTGGCTGTGACGCCGGTGGTTGCACGAAGTGCGCCTTGGACTCGTCTGGACGAGCATCGCTTTCGCTTTCTCTCGGATTACATAAAAGCCGCATAGGCCCTAAATTCCCTTGTTGAGCAGGGGGGGATGGGTTACAAAGACTACTATACCGGACCATCAAGGGACTATCATAAAGATCATTCCCCCGAACCGTACCAAGAACCGGAGAGTAAAGCCTTGAGAACATTCGAGCCCTCCACCTTTTGCCCCCAGCTTGACTCGCAAACCAAAAAAGGATCAGTTTAACGCTTAGGCCTTGCGGTTTAGGGCTTAGGCTGGCGTAGCGCGCCCATACCAAGAAGTTGCATCCTTGAGCCGTTCGCAGAGACACCGCCACTACTCGATGTCATGGGTTGCTCCATTTGGGGAAGCATCCTAAACCCTGTCGGTGATATCACGCCTACACACCCTACACGCTAGACCGTAAGCCGAAGCCGTTTAAACCTTCACAGCTCGAAACCAGATGAAGCGGTAAAGCGCCCACATGCTACACCCTGAACCGTACTCCCCCAAGCCCAGAGCTCCCCCGCACGAGTCTTTGAACCTTCAGTTTAAACACCATCGGAGCTTGTTCATGCTGCGCCTACTGAGCCCAAAGAAACTAACCATGCCAACACTGTCGAAGCACCCTGGACAAATCCCGTGAAATCCTGGCCACCTCCGAGGCAGATCACCTCGGCAAGATGGCTGTGGTCTTACCGGGAGCCGTCGTGCTACTTTCTTGCAAGAGGTCGGAGCTTCCTTCTTTCAGGGCTGGAGATCTCTTCCCACCGGGGCTCAAGGGCTCAGGTACTGGCAGTATCCCTTACCTCAATATAGTTCTACTAACTTCATGATGCACCCCCAAACACTGTTCCAGTTAGATCAATTAAGCACCTGTCTTGGGAGAGCTTGGCTTCTTGGTAGTGTCAGGCGCAGGCTATTAAGGCTTAGCTAAAATGAGTCAAGCGATTATCTCGCATCGGAGCCCCGACGCATTAGAGAGAGGGTTTCAGGAGCTATTGTTTCAAAGCCCTGATGGTGGTGTACTAAGTTCCGTGTGCCGTGCGCCACTGCCAGTTGCTTTAAGGATCTGTATGGGTTCCATGTGTTTGGGCATCAAGGACATGATGGGGCCGGGAAGCTGAATACTCGCAACCTTGTAGAAGTGGGCAAGCATTTCGATAGTTCAGTCAACGGCTGACACCATGCCTGGGATGCAATGGCTCCAGCTCCTGCGATATTCTACACCGAAGTCTCGGGCTTCAAAGTGTTTGGGGCCCAGGCTTCGAAGCCCCAGCCGAGGTACGGTGCCGGACTGATTCTCGTCCCACAGATCTCCTCCTTGCTGGAGTTGCGCCCCGGCCAAACTTTTTCGGTTTAGGTTTTGTATCGTTATTTGGGCTCTGGAGCTTTGGGGCGTTGTGCTTTGGGACTTTCGGGCTGAAAGTTGAGGGCTTAAGCGTTTAAGGTTGCGGCTTCAGGGTTTCAGGGTCTACAAAGGGATCTTCAACCGAAAAGCTCCATCTTCCTGTGACTGAGACGCACTGGGTCATTGGGTCCCATCACCACGGCCTCCGCCACCATCAACAGCGATGATGACTAGCAGTAGCAATCGTAGTCATCAAAAGTTGGCGTCGTAAGCTGAAGAACCCACTTCCTGAAGAGAGGAGAGCCCGGGGCCTCCATCCCTCCCCAAAACCTGGAACCCTAAAACCGTAACTTCTGGACCTTCTGCCCCTGTGCTTCTTACAGCTTGAGGCTGCCCGTGCTTGCAGCGATGCAAGTGGGCGCCTGCATGTGTGCGCAGGTGTGGTGTCGGGGGCGAGCCGAGAAATTGCATGTGAGTCTTGAATGTGATTTGGGCAGACGCAGAGTACGTAAAGTCGAGCGCACCGTTCTGGCTTCCTTGGAAGGCGATGCAGGTTGTATGATTCCGTTGTACCCTTGATTTTAGCCCCAAGCGGCAGCAAGCTCCAAAAAGTTATGGCTTTGGAGCCTTAGGTAACTGTAATACGTTTAGGTTTGGGACATTCGGGTACCCAGCCTGGCCCTATGCCAAACCTATGCAGAGGTTGCCAGGGATAGGCCTCAAGCCCAAGCCTTAAAGCTCTGAAGCTTTCTGCGCGCGCGTAAGACCCGAGACCTCAGCCTGAATCAGCACGATACGCCATGAAGTCAACAAGCATCCATCGATGCCCGGAACTGCTGCTACACCTCGTACCCTCGCCGGTAAGCCTAACTCCGAATATGAAGTTTCGATTGTCGAGACCCCAACCGCAGGCACAGATGCATGCAATGGACCTGGCGCCGGCCCCTTTCTCTGAAGTTCCAGGTTCGTCAATGCCATCCTAGCCGTGGCAGAAAGGGCATAGGATTCAAGAGTGGCTCAGTAGCTCAAGGCTCTACGAGGGGCGCTTGGGTGCTTGAGACTTCGGAATTCGGTTGCGATGGTGACTCTTTGAAAGCCCCATCGCCATGGCCCAACAGGAGGAATGCCCCCCGAAATCGCCACTTTAAGTAGACTTGAAAGCCACCGTTTCGAAGCGAAGGGGCCACCATGCTAGGGTGTCCCTGCCCAAGCTGCGTCTGGGACCCGATATCAGCACGACCCTTGTGCCCCGAGGTTAAAGACCGCGCAAAGGTGCCAAGTCTGTGGAATACCTTTGGCGACACAGGACGTCTTGAGGGATTTCGGTTCCGAGTCTATAGCAGAAGCCCTGAAGCTAGCAACCCTTCGTAGTTTATCTGAGCCTGGATTGGAGGTAGCCCGCGTCGGAGTGCCATCACGGCTTTCTTCCATATTGAAGATAGATAGATAGGAGCTAGTCATTGGGGATCCCGGCTGTCGTTTTCGGGTGCACAGGATGTGCGAGGCTTGGACACAACGAGTTCAGCTTATGCTGTGGCGATTGTAAGAGTGCAGAGCCCTCAGCCCTAAACCCTAGCTTAGAAAGGTCGGTCCCACAAAGAGCAGCTCGGATGCAGGTAACCCCCGAGGCCCTCCGAACCTTGCACCGGCAGTCGAAATGTCAATCCGGGAAGCCTTATCAGTCCCTTTGCAGACAGAGCACTTGAGAAATCGGCTTGACGTCTATGGACCCCGAAATACACGACAGGAATCACAGCGAATCAAAGCCCTCGAAGCCAACCCGAGCCCGTTCCCTGCGACCGCAGGAATGCTTTTCTCCTCCTTCACTTCATCAGTGCTCGCCGAGGTCAGCTACGTAAGGGTGAAAATTATGACTCCCTGGCTTTCCATGCAGACTGTGCTGAACAGTTTCCGACTGTGGTATTTTTTCGGAAAAGAAAGCCGAGAACGACGTAGGAAGCTGATTGCGATGTTCCTGTCGCCCCTGCGGAATGGATAACTGTCATGTGTTATAGAGCTGCTCGGGAATCTCCAAGAGAAAAGCAGAACCTGGTTGCTTTGCGTCAGCGATCCCTACGGTTCAATCAATGGTCAATGCATTGGTCATGCTACGATGCTTATGTCGCACTTCCTTGCAGAAGGTGAGCCTGCAATTATCGCTGTATCGTGACGGCATGTGACTGAGGTATGGAGCGGCTAAGACCGTGGCAGGGGCTGTCTTGTACAGGGTTTACCATACATCTAGCTCAGCCGGCATGAAAGTGAAACCGTTCAGCACACAAAGATGAGCTACCGTCCGTGGTTGTTCATCCGCGGATCTGTAGCTTGTCGTACATGCGTATGTGTATATACACGCGCCATATTGGAGCAGCTGGTATGTGTATATATATATATATACATATGTATGTATGTATGTATGTATGTACATATGTAGCATGTAAATATGTAAATATGTATGGCAAGAATTGGCATGGAATGCAAGGCACGATTATGTAGTGGTATGGTATCACAGGTTATGTGTGTATGTATGCCTGCCTGGTTTTTGTAAGAACATTCTAGATGAGTAGCATACATAAATCGCGCGGTACTATCGATTTTAAACTGGCTCACCTCACGAAGGTGCGAGGGTTTGGCCTTGTCGATGAATGATCGAGTTTAAGGGGTTTATTTTAAGGGATCTACTGTTAGGGCTGATCCTTGCGAGCATCGCGTGAGGCCTTTGGCCTGGGTAGCGCTTTCTATGCGGACGGTGTGCTGCTGCTTCGGCTCTCACATGTCATGATCTTCAGCCTTAAGGGTTTAGGGCTTTTAGGGTTTAGGCTTTGGTGCTCCGGAAGCATACGGTCTCGAACTTAAAGGGGCTTTCCTGTATTGTTGCGGACCTCTGGTGCGTCGTCACCTTTTGTAGGCGTTTCATTGAAGGTCCACGATGAAAAATGAAAGACACATGGCGATGGCGAAGTATGGTGACCGTCTCGCCCTCTAAGACTCTAGTGTAGCAAGACTGTATGCTTTGCTGTTTAAACAAGTAAGTGTGTCTGAGCTCTTATGGTGCCCCGTTTTGTGGTTCCTTGCAGAGCTTCCAGCTGATCCCCGCCCCGGCATCGCCGAACCTGTTGCCAAGGCTCCTCGTTGCCAGTGGCGGCATGTTCATCATGAGTCGCCGCTGAGCCTTGGGGTTTTATAGCTGTTTATCTGTTTTAACATGAGGCTTTTGACGGAATATATTGCGGCTGAAGGCATTGTTTGTATAAGTACGGTTGGCTCCTGTAGGGCCGCGGGGTGCTTTAGAGGTGTATGAGAAACGGGAACCATTGGAGTTCAGAAGTTGAATTGCATCCTTACCGCTTACGACTTCAGTATTCACGCTCCTAATCTTCCCCGGCACAGCAGAAATCAGATTTCAACTCCCCGGCATAGCCCCTGCAGCCTTGCAAATTCAGCGACGCAACAGCGTCTCATATTGTTCAGATCTGCACCTCATGTGCCTGCAGAAACTCGTAATGATCTTCCGTGTGCCGATCTGAATACACTTCCCCAACATCCTGCTAGGTCCAGAGCATTCCAGGGAATGACCTTCAGGGTTGCCAGTAATACCGATCAAAGACCTCGCTTCACTGCAGAGTTCTTCGTACAGAGGGCTCTGGCTAAGCCACAGAATTGGAGGCTGCTTGCAGTATCCACGTTTCACGTGCCCCAGGCATCGTATTGGTTGTCGCCATCTTTGGCGCATGACGTGCCAGAAGAAAGAGGAATATCTCTGAATTGACAGTCCTCCTGGCTTTTCTTGATGGCGGTACCCTCTATGCAACCAACGGCTAGTTCATCTTGCCCGGTCTCCACTAGCATTGGAGCTTGTAGGCTTCGGATGAAACTTGCTCGGGGCGGGCAGCGAGAGCCACAACAAGGGATACACGCCGAAGGCGACACCACGACATCCAAACCCAGCCAGATTCTGTCTCAACCCGACACTGAAGGCAAAAAGTAGGCACACACGCCTCAAGATCGCATACTGACAATCCCAACTTTGTCTACCATGATGTGAGCGATCTCAAGGGAAAGCCTTGATACCTGAATCCATGTTGCTTACACTTCCGGCGGACCAAGGCCGTAGATGACGAAAGGCGACTGTTGCCCTAAACTATAGGAGTTGTGGGATGGGCATTGGTATTTTGTCCATCAAAGGTGGGGTGAGCCTTAAGAATGAGTCCGCGTATTTTCAGGAAGCCAGAAAAAAGCGTTTAACCAATGGCAGCGTAGGTCGACGGTCAGCTTGTTTGGTGTTTATCGGCCCCCAGCAGAATTAAAATGCTGGCTTGCGATAGTTAGCAACCAGGGCCGAGCAGAGCACGTAGGGCCCTCCTGCACATAATCTTGCCCCGACAACCAAATTCATGCTAAACGCCTGCACGCACCTCTGTCGGAAATCTCACAAACCGTGCAAAATTATGTTCTCAAGCTAACGGTCTATAGGGAACACAGACCGGAGGCTTGAAGCCGCCCATGCAACAAAGGCCTACACCATGGCACCAAACCTCCATAACAACTCACCCGCACTAGTTTCGTGTTGATCTACAGCTTAGGGTCCACGTTCAGGGTTTTCTTGTGATAGGGATTGGGAGTACCCACCTATTCTCCTTCATCCCTGACTGCCTTCATGTCACCCCTCGAAACCCTCCCCGAAACTCTTCAGACAGAGCATGTCGGGATCTGCGGCGGCATGGTTGGGAGCAGGTACCTTCTGCCGGGTGGTGACTTACTCGGTGATTGGGGTACCATGTAACGGAGGCTTCGATGTCAGAGTGCTAGAGTTCGCCACCATGCGTGGCCCTAGCTCCTTCCAACGGAATCGCTACCCCGTCCCTGGAGTGTCCAGACAGCGTAGACTCCGCTGCAACTTAGCAACGATGTTCAGGGGTGATTAGTTTGTTGGAATTTCTAACTACATTCCCTTTTCCGTAAGTGTTCAACACTGCTTCGCTTGCTCTGGCAAGCCTCTTTTCAGCCCCGTCTTCGATTTCCTGCATTCCACTCGATGAAGCGCCAATCAGTAGTCCCCCTCGCTAGACCCTCTATGCAGAGTGTCGACGTCGACACTTAAGAATCCTGCAACCCCTAAGCTAAAAGTTTAAGCCCCTTTTTCCAAGCGTGGGAAGTTGAGGATCCAGAACTTCGAGCCCCAAGCCAGCATTCCGGGCTCCAGTTAGTTACTCCAGTTGCCTGCAAGTCACCAAGCCTTACACCCTGGAAATCCTACAATCAAGCCTTCTCACCCGAGAGAAGACCCAAAAGACCAGACCAAGCAACCTGAACCCTGAGCCCGCAACATGTAGGCTGGCGCGACATGTCGCCAGCAAGGCTCGATTCCAGGAGGCTATGGGGGCCCATCACGATGTGGTGCCCTTCATATAGACAATAGGCGATCGAAGTAATCGTACTGAAATTCAGGGTCTGCGTGGGGACTTTTGGCTTAACTGCGGATGGCATGGTTCGTGTAGTCGTCTCGATTAATGTGCTTGTGTACATCGCTCTGACAGCTCGCACGAACTCCACATGAAGATCCGCATGTGTCCGCATCTGGGCTTTATCGACACTGTGCATGGACGTACCACTCCCGCTCTGACTCTTCTGACCGCACGTACTGACAGAGTCGTGAACAGTCATAGCATAGCTGCATGTAGCAACCGTCATTGACGCTCGCTGAAAGTGTCCTTCAGAAAGGGAAATAATTACACAGAGACGGGAACTATCAGCCCTTCCAAGCCCAGAAGCCTTCATCAAGAGACTCGAAGCCAGCGGACGCCTACGCCATCGGATGCTCCGTTGAACACTGTGCCTCTTTAGCCCAAGCCGAGCGTGAAAGCACTCCCGAGAAGCACCTTGGAACACGAAAGTATTCCAACAGTCCAAGCGACTTGCCATGGACCCTTAGACCTGAAGTCTTAACCGTCAACGACTCCTGCGACACAGGGTTGGAGCCCGGTTCTCGCGGCTCTGCAGAGGCTTCAGGAGCCGTAGTGTATAAAGCCACACATTCCTCTGTCTTTTACGTCTGTAGTTAGTTCCGACTGGTGTAGGATCTGAGCTTCGGGCCCTAGGCGCGTCCTGAGCACCGTAGGCAGTCTGAAGCCAGGAGGATCCGCAGACTAACCTGGAAGCAAACCTCAAAGCCATCGAGCCCGAAAACCTGTAGCCCTCGATACTCAAACAAGCCTGAGATCTCCGATCTCCAATCCGATAAGACCCCGAAAGCCTGTGACTGCATCCTTGGACCACGAGCTAGTCATCGAGATCTTCAGCTTTGGGTCTGGGTTGCATATTATCATATCAAGTCAGGCCCGGCAGGCCCCAAGTAGAGCCTGAACCCAGGCCCGACGCTGTTCAAAGCCCCAATGGCCCCAAGCCAAGAGCTTCGTGCAACCTAAACTGGGTCTAGCAAGGATCCGCGCTGCCCGCCTCCGCGACAAGAGGATGCGCTACAAGCACTGCTGGATAACAAGGCCTTGCTAGCCTCAAACGCCTTGGTTGACGAAAGCAGGCAAACCTGATTGCACAGCTTATGAGTAGGACCCCAGTGTTGCTTCAAGGTCGAATATCAGAACTGCAATGTCATGTTCAGGGTACAGGTCGTGGTTTGTCGCCGTCGGAGGTTTGGGTCTTCAAGTCAAGCAGGGAACCTTTAAACCCTACACCCCATTAGCGTGCCCTTACAGTACTACTACGCTGAAAGGAACCCTTGAGTATTCACGGAGGGTCTTATGCCGACGCGAAGCGCCTGCCAGGAAGCCTTTGCCACAACCAAAGCTGCAAGGCCGCACCTGGAGGTCAAGGTGTTCACCTTTTCTTGTTGGTGTAAATCGTAAACCATGAACCCCAGACCCCCGAAGCTTAAGCCTTAAACACAGATGGGACCCACACCCTGAGCCCTACCACACCCTCAACCTTCAACCTTAATTGAAGCCTAAGTTTCAACCCGAGACCCGGAGCTCTCAAAACCCTAAGACCCAAGCCCATGAAGCCGAGTGAATCCGTAGTCAGACCGTCCAAGGACTACTCGCGCGCCATCAATGCCTTCGGCAAGCGGAGGCGATGGTCCGAGGTCCACACCGGATCTTTGGTTGTTCTTGGCTTGGGGGAGTTAGGGTTTGAGGTTTCTGGGTTTAAGGGCTGAGGGCTTGGGTTTTCGGATTTATGGAGATTTGGGGTTCGAGGTTTGGGGGTTCGTTGGGGTTCAGGGCCGAGGGTTCTGAAGCTTATAGTTCAGGGTTGTTGTGGTCGGGGATGGATCGAAGGGTTGTGCCCCCCCCCCCGACGTTACACTGAAAGGCTTGAAAGGCGATCCTCCAATCATAACAAGGGAGCTTTGATAATTGCCAACATGAGTCTTGCGGTTCCTTGTAGCGTTATACAATGCAAGAAATTCAGACCTCTGCATTTCTCCATGTTAGTGGCCCAGTTTCGAGTTTCCTGCGTGAGGCGCCGCATGAGAACTGCAGAATGAGCCATTGAACCCAGCATCAGCTGCACTGTCTGCCGCAGACCCAACCCAAAACCCTTGATGATTCGAATAGGGTCTGGGTGGGGATGAGCAGGTCATAGTAAGGGACCTGATTACCTTTGAAGCTAGTATCTGATGCACAGCCCCTACGAACAGAAGATTGAGAATGCAGCGACTCCTAGCAGGCTGTCTGAATCCAGAAACTCTATTAATCCAAGATTGGTTCAAAGGCGTTCATCGACTTTTTGCAGGGCTAAAGCCTAAACCGTGGCAGAAGGTCCTTCATGGCTGTGGCGATGCTGACAGATCGTATTTGTAGATGTTTGTGCAATGATGTCTTTTGACATGCAGACTCTTGAACACCCAAATGCTGCTAGAAGTCCGCATCCGATCCCTCCAGTCCACCCCCGAACAGAAAACGCGGAACCCAAAGCCGAAAGCCAAAACGCTCCCCTCTCTTGACTGTGGAGGCAGTGCACCTGCTTGCGACCATGCATGAGCCGCTGATCTCGAAAAGCTTAGAGTCTTAGAGCTTGTAGAATCAGAACCGCTCTTCTAGTCAGGCCTCAATACGGCACATAAACATAAGGATCCCACCCAGAAAACCCGTAGCTGCCACTCTGTTGGTTATGACGTGATGAGCTGGAAGTCCCTCGGGCTTTGCCACCACAAGAGTTTCGGAAGATCTTTGCGCGGTCCTGGCGCTGAACTTCTAAACATGACTTTATCTAGCACCACATAAAGATCTCACAAAATTTGTCTTTGCTCATTTTTGTAGACCACATAAGGATCTCACTAATGTTTCGCCACGCCAAAAGACCGGAGAGCCAGGTCCCGCTTCGTTCGTGAGATCTTTATGTGGAAATTCCTTTGTGTGCCCAGTTTGCTTTGCTGTACCCTGCAAGAAACCTTCATAGTACCCGAAAAGTAACCTAAACATACCACTAAGCAATGCCACCAAGAGCTCGGCTGGTGGGTTTGGTTGCGGCTTTTGCGAGCGTTGACAATCGGTCAACGACGCCACTCGTGCCTGCTTTTTCGAGCTCGGGATGCTGGGTGCATGGCTTGCTGGTGATGCAGGAAACTGCTATTCACAATAGTTCGATTGCCGTCGGGGTGTTCCTGCTCCCAGTTTCGATCATATTTAATGGTATGGCACGAATTTCTGATGCTCTGCGATTGTGCTTTTTGCGGGTGGGACCGTCCGTAATGACCTGGGATTAGCTGAGCAGCATGCAAGAACTAGGGTTCAGGTTGTACGATCTCGGGTTCCAGAGTCACTCACCAAGGCCTGCAGGGGCATGCGCAAATAGGGAAACCCCAGCCCCAAACTGGTCGGTCACCAAAACCTATACTTGAGGCGTGTGGTGGGGCCGTGTCGGTTTTCGCACAGCGCCGCCATAAGCCTCTTGGCAGAAGAGTTTGAGTTAGTCAAGTGGAAGCGGTTATCCATCAGTCTCCCATGTCCCTCCACAGATCGAGCTGGGCCCAAGTTCGCCAAAAGCCGAGCCCAGCCCACACAGGCGCCTGCGCCAGTGCCACTGCTTGGCAGCTGCTGGGCCGATCTAGCGAAGGGACACAGCAGAGTCCAGAGTGATTACCCTTGTGGGCCTCGTAGCTTTGGTTAATGTTCATTGTTCTAGAGAGGAGCCGCGTTTCAGGGTATCTTATCGGCTCCTCCCTTTCTGTACTTGCGAAGAAGACGATGACTTCGACGAGTGCCGCCATTCTTGTCTCCTGCTGCAGCGGGCGCGGCGACCACCACCACCGCCGCCACCCCACAACGTCGACGAGTACCCTTAATTGTGCATCTTGTGCCTTCTTTGCCCAAAAAAGCTCAGATCTTGCACTTTTTCCTGAGCTGTGAGTCGGAGTTATGCTTTGTGATATCCCACCATACAAGTACATTGGAACCAATGGGATGATATCATCGTCCCTCCCGTTGTCCCAAACCGGAAATCGCGTCGCCTCAGAGTCCCAGGCACGCGCTCTCTGCCTTGACTGGCCCCGAGGCCCAAGGCCCCTGCCCCTTTCTGCTGGATTTAGATTCACGGGGTCGAAGTACTGATACTATTTCCAGGGGCTTGAATTGTACTACAACATTCGCCAAAACCCCATTCCAACTATTCACAACCCTCTAGGGTGAGGGCTTTTGAGGCTCAGGTGGGGACTGTGATTGTAGGGCTTCAGGAGGTGGGGAGCTGCGAGCTGGAGGCAGTTGATGGATCCAGCATACCGAATCCCGAACCACCAGGCCTGAGCCCAAGATGCTCAACTTAAAGATCCGATTTGTAAAGCCTGGGTTTCTGCGGATACTTCCAGCCGATCGTGTGCTTGTGATTCGCAGCTCGGCTGGGAGGGCTCTTCTATTGGGACTTGGTGCTTGCGGTGGGCCCAGTCATGAGCAAGCTTGATGTTTGAAGTTAGAAACCTCAAAGCCAATTAAATGTAGCAGATATTGTCCAACAGAAAGACAAGAGTCTTGCTCCAACTAAAGGCAGTCGAGTTGAATAACATCTGCAGCTCTGCACGACCTTGCTTGCCTCTGCCTTCAATCCCTGAGTCCCCAACCCCAAACCACTAAACTCTAAACTCAAATTCCTAAATCCTAAGCCCGAACCCGTCAACCCCAAAACCCCTTAAAGCCTCAGCCCCAAATCGAAAGATCTGCACGCAGACCTCGACCTGGATCTTATCGTCGTCAGCGCAGCACTGTCGGCTTGTGAGAAAGCCAGCCGCTGGCACCAAGCGCCTGGGACAGGGCTCTCATGAGCGACTGCATAGATTCAAAAATATGTATGAAAAGCTTCTCCCCAGGCTTCATTGCAGAACTTGGACCTACCTGCGTACTTTGGTGGCGAAGACGGCAGCAACCAAACAGCACCCCAAACCTACTGGAATCATAAAGCCAGAAAGTATGGCGTCTGAGTCATGAGCAACTCTAGGTTTCGGAACTGGCAACCACGAGACTCCAAGAAAGGCTTGGTTGATGCCGAGGCAATGCGGCTGCTCCAGGAAGCAGAGCGGCTTCTCGGATCACCGGGTGGACGTCGGGGCTCCAGGAATTGTTCAGGCCAAGTGTTCCCTGGAGGGTGGAAGTCCGTTGTGTCGCACGCTTCCGGGCGATTTAGGCGCAGGCAGTTGGGGGCGGATTCCCGGCCCCAAGCCTTTAGCCTGTTGGGCTTTGTAGCTGAGGGTTCGAAGTGCAATCAGACCTGTGAGCCTGCGAGACAAGGCTTATGGCCACACATGGGGCTTGGGCACTCTCGTCTTTCCCTGAAAGCCGAAAACCGACATGCTGTAGCCTGAAACAGAGCTTGGGAAGCTGTTTGTTACGACGGAGGCCGCCGCGAAATTGCATCCCGAAACGTCATCACCTGAGGCGGGAGATACAGCCAGATGTGGTGGCATTGAATGCTGCACCATTGATGCAACTGGGGGTTTAGGGATCTGCGAAGTATTGACTGCCACGGGCATACAGAATTGACAGCTCGACGACTTGAGCGTGCGTGGTTCTTGGAAAATCCTGCAACCTCAAACCCGAGCACCACTGCTACTGGGGTCGAAGTTGCTGTTGCTAGATCTGACAGTCTGAACCTTTCTATTGTCCCAAGGCTTCTTTGCCACATTAGCGGTTCTCTTACGCCTCTAGGGATTTCTGAGTGCCTTGCTTAGGAATAGGAACAGTGTTGTCGCAGCCCAGAGGAGTTGCTTTGAGTTCGCAGCTCATGAGCTACACGATGCACAGCTTCAACCCACGTACGAAGACCCCTACTGTGTGGTTTACGTCTGTGTTTCTGTGAGAATTTAGGGCTTGTGGGCTACGGGGCTTGGATTTCAGGGTTTATAGGACCCTGTCAACGCTGAACTGCTATCCATCCAGAGATGGACCCTGATCCTGGGAGCCTCTTCTTCAAGGGCCATAAAGAAGAAGAACAACAGCATCAGGAACAACAATGAATTGTAGTAAAGAAAGCAATAATCGTAGCAATAATTGTAATAAGAATAACACTAGCAGCTATTATGCTAATTGTAGCAGTGAATATACCAGTAAAACTAGCAAGAATAATCACTGATCACAGTAAGGTGTTCATATCGTGGTACGAGTATTGCCTTATATGCTTGCTATGAGCATCGTACAATATCCCCCCAACCCTACTCCACTTGTTGAGGCCCGGGTCTCTGAATCTTTCAACCTTCGATTTTATAGAACCCGTTAAAGCAACCCTTTAAGGAACTCTATGTCTTATTCAGACACCTAAACCGTAAACCCATCCGCAGGTAATCAGCAGCTGTGGCAAGGGTTTCGCTTGGGCTCGAGCTTTGGATCTGCTGCAAAGCTTGGCAGACAGGAGGACCGAGCTTGCGGGGACTGGGGGGCGTGTGTCTTTGTATGTGTATTCATGTTGTGATGCTTCTGTGCGCACATACACTATATGCATAACGAAATGTACAGACGGATGCACAGCCTGAAAGTCCCAAAACCCAAGGCCCTCACCATAAAGCCCCGAATGAGACAGGCTTCAGCCTACTCGCATCAGCTACTCCTCGGCGCTAACGGCCTGCGAGCGATCGGGACGATGGAGGTCAAGATCAGGGTGTCCCTGAAAGTTTTAGGTTTGTGTGAGGTTCCGGCCTGAGGGCGGAATCTTCCACTTTGGCATGGAATCTGGCAGAGCTTCTGGCCACTACGACCTGTTCAACAGACAGATCCGCCAGAGTTTTGGCTTTTGGCGTTGAATGCTTCGGGGTTTGGTTTGGAGCTGTGGGCCCCGATGAACCCCCCCCAAATGCAACATCACCCATCCACTGCTCTCAGGGGCACAGCCTACACGGTGAAAGCCCGGTCTGCTGCTCCGACGAGCAGACTAAGCAGTTGAGCAGCGAGACCGACCCAGCCAAAGATGCCTTCCGAGTAGTGCGGTGAGCTTGTGGCAAAACTCGCGCCCCCCGCAACAGTCCCGGCGGGAACGTCTCAGCTCTCTAAGAAGCCCGCCGGAAACTCAAAAAACTCCTGGTGGAGGCAGGCCATGGGCCTTCTGCTCGGCATGCAAAGCGCAGGCTACGCGGAAGGGACTTCCGGGCTTCGGGGGGGCACTTCCATGTCTCTTCGCCTTTTTGAGGAGTTGGGGGTTCTTAGATTCTGGCCATGTGTTCAGCAGTATAGGTCTCGAAATGCAGGGAAATCGCCACAGGTACCTTGGGCTCAAAGAGTATGAAGCGCAAGTGCAAGTGCTCAATGGCCCGTAGGTGTCTGCATGGTTCCAGGGCTCGCTGGCAGTGTTTTATGACTGGTGCTGTGCAACAATTCGGGTGCCGCTCGAAGCCGTTGTTCGCGCACCGAGACTAAAGGACTCAGTGATGTTTCCGACTTGAATCTTCCGGTTTACTTGTTTCGACATTCCCAAGGTAAATCGAATCCCGCGAAGCTGATGTGACGCAGAAAAGTTATCAACTCATGACGAACGATTACCTTAGGCTATGACGTCTACTGCTAAGTTTAGCACGTAGATCGCACAGCTTGCCTGTAGAAACGTACAGCTTCTGTAAAACCGGACTGGAGTTCTACCTTCTTCGTTGGAGTGCATAGATCTATCCTGGAGACGGACGCCGCAAGAGTCCCCAAACCTTTAAGCAACTAGATCCTACAGCCCCAAGGCGCTGATCTAGTAGAAGCCACGCAGAAGTCCGAAGACCTAGAGCTGAGGATTATAGGATGAGGGAGGGGAGGACCTAAGCCCGGAAATCTCGCAATTAAGCCCTGCTCGCCTAGCCCAGCACCCACAAAACATCCGAAGCCGCAGGTGTGACGCCGGATGCCATCGCAATGGGCGCAAGCATCAGTGCAATGGAGAAAGGTCGCAACCTCGGGTTTTCATGCAAGTATTCCTCGGAAGTTGCTGTGCTTGAATCACATACTTTTGACCTTCAATGTTGATGCGTCTTCACATAGCGCCGTGAACCGTCTCCTTTGCATGTATGGCCCCCAGACTTTAGGGGTTCCCATCGAAGCTTTAGAAACCGAAATGGCCGTGTAAGACGCGAGGGCGCCTTGTGACTCGTTGATCCAAACTGTTTGGGCTCATTTTTTCGCAGTTCCACTCACGGGTTTAAGGGGCTTCTGATAGAGCTACCTGGCGAGAAACCCTGACTCTGGGAGTTTTACCAGGCAAGAAGCCTTGACTCTGGGAGGTTGAAAATTTCCCGTTGATTCGTCCCACCCCAAAGGTCAGCAGCCGGGGGGTGTAAGGCTGAGGGACGGTGGCAAAGTAAAGATGTTTCGGTGGAGATTGAGGTTGATGAGGGGCTCGGTAAGGCAAAGCACGAAGCTGCCCTAAACCATAAACTTTAACAGTACGTACGATTACTTTCCTGAAACCATCCCCTTCACGGCAGAGTCCCTTTGCCTTCTCAATTGCTCTTACTGTAGTCTTGCTAGCTGCTTTCTACCAATGGCCCTTCACGGCCCTTCCCATTGTCCCACTGGGTATCACACAATTAAGTGGTGCTGTCACGGTACTTAGGTAGCCGGTGACGCCTTCCACAGCAACGTATGAATCCCTCGGCCATGATCCCGGTCTGATCCTGGAAATGTGACCCAGAACATGTCTAGAAGCTTTCCAGGTCGGCAGTGGGCAGCTGCACTGTGGCTCTTGTCCGTGGAGGCCGGGTAAAAAAATGTGCCACCTGGCGCCCTGGGCTCAAAGTGGTCTTCTGGCTGCTGCATTGAGAGCGCGATTTCTGTTCATTATATTTATATTGCTCCATTCGTGTGCGTGGGAAATGGCTTTGTTTGCATAGGGCTTGACGGTTTGGATTTGCAGGTCATGGTCAGTGGAGCGTCTGGAGTGCACAGAGTGAAGCTGTAATGCTGGTTGCAGGTACGACCCAGTTACAGCATTCGTGCTGATTATACGGCGCCGCAATGTTGCTAGGTGTAGAGAGCATATGAAGCCGACCCTGCAAATTGTGAGTCGTTTGACACTGAGCGCCTCAGTTCCACAAACATCCTGTGTCTCGGAACCCGAAAGCCTGCATCTCGACATCCGATGCTTCGTCCATCCAAGTGCCAGGAGCGCTCCTCCCGATGCTTCGACACAGTTGCGTTCAATGCCGGCATCGCTGCGTGTGCCAAGAGCCGGGAGTGGATCAAGGCCGCCCCAAACGCTGCGAGGTGTGCTAATGTGTTCGCGAGCGCCGGAAGCAGAAGAGCCTGGAATTAGTTCCTTAGGCATTGCAGATGGAAGGTGACACAAGAAGTCGGCATTCGTCTCAGGTCACTTAATAACCCGCCCGAAATGCAGAGACGAAGTTTCCAAAGCGCTGCTGGCTACCAGGATTCGAAAGTGTTCGCGCAGCATTGGTGCGTTTTTCGGGCAGCGTTTGCTTACACAAGCAAGGAAAAACGAAACATCCCGGGTTCGATGTCAGTTCTACAATTTGCTCTGCAACGCTCTGAACCTCTCAGGCCAAAATCAACTGCGAAGATTCCGGAAGTTGGGGTGAGATGAAGCAACTGCAATCTTACAAATCGCGGAAGGCTCTTGACCTGTTGCAGACGCTCACTTCGCCGATGGCCCCCGTCCGCCCGGACAGCAGATTTGGGAGCTGAATTCTGGTAGTTCTTTGGTACAGAATCGTCTGCTCGCTCGTTCAGCTTTGTGTTTTTGGATATCCCATAGCATGGCAAGTATTCTATGTACGGGAAAGCTATGCATCAGACATGGCCACATAAACTCTCGACACTTTGCTTAAAAGCTCAAGCAACCGTTTCTGTGGTGTGGGGCTTGCTGCAATGGGGCCGTGCGTGTTGGGCTTACGGTGCTGTAGGACCCCAGTTGGAGGTCAGCGCTTCATATTGTCAAGTCGTTTCGGAGCAACAGTTAAGAAACTTGATTTGAGAATTTGAGTCGTTACCGCTTGCTTCTTCTTTCATAGGGGTCGCTTGTGATCTCTATCAGGCATGCTAGATCGGTCAAATTGGCCTCGAACTCAAGTCAATAAATTCAGGAATCCGAAACCCACTACCCTGTAGTCTTTACAGCCTAAGCCCTGCTGCCCGAAGTTCGGAATTCCAGGACGCGGCGTCCTTTGATGCTGGGATGGATGCCTGTGCAGACGGGCACTGGTTGCAGGTGGCCTTCTCTCTCTTGGCTACGGCTTTCGAGCTTGTAGGGCTTTGGCTTCAGAGTCGGACACCATGCAGGATTCGGAGTTTGAGCAGGAGTTTGTTTTGAGTCACGGCGACCTCGGTGGCTTGCAGGCCCTGCACCTACAGCAACGGGCCACAAACCTCGCACCCCAGGGTCAACAAAAGATCTCTCAGTCTTGGGCACAAAGCTCAGCACTTGTTTCGGCTTCTTGTTGGAAACCTGCATGAAATCCGCGCCCTGGTTGCCACATCTCCCCTCCTTTTGATCCAGAAGAGCTGGTCAAGCTTACTAGTACCTCAGGCCCACCCCGCCACTTGTGCCGGTGCCGTTCTGGCTGGTGATTCCTGGGCATGAGAACTCCAACACCGCGAGCATAATCCCAAGTGGTCACTCTTAGGAGTCATCAAGCCAAAGGTGAAGTTCGAAAGTCTCTGGAAAGGTGGTGTTCTTCATTCCCCTCATCAACCCTACACACCCCAAACCATCATCAAGAGATGACTTCATTGCCGGAGAGGCGCTTGGGCTGCTTAGCGAGATGCCAAAGCTCCGTGGCTTTTAGCCGAGATGTTCTTGGCGGGCCCAAGCGCTAAGCAAAACTCTTCACAGTGTAATTAGTATGTCTGTTCAGGACACGAGCGTCTTGCAAAGCTCCTTTTGGTGCCCGTTGCGTCTTTCATATGTCCTGCACCAATCAAAGGCAAAAAGCCAACACGAACACGCCAGCATGTGAAGCCTCAAACTCTGGTTCCCATGCATCGACGAAGCCGCCTGGTGCTCTTTGGTTTTGCTGCTTTCTTTACAAAGCACTTGCTTGAAGCATCGGCCAGTATAGTAGTGCTGGGCAGTTTGAAGAGAGCAAGCAGGACAGGACGAAACCCTGAAGGTGACTTTCTAAAACTTCTTGGACCACTCAAAAGGACCCTACACAAGACGTCCAACCTTCGTGAGCCTAGGCTTGACTTGCCTCGCACAGCCCGGAGCCACCTGGTCTGGAAATGTTGGTTATCCTGGCCTTCGCCCTGGCTTGGGGATTCAGCCTGGCATGACTGGGGTGGATTCAAGAAGAGGGGCTGCATCAACCCGAAAAATCTGTAGACATGCTGAGGGTTTAAGGGGCTATCCCTATGCTTCACTTGCAGATATCTCTTACAATAGAGTATGATAGACTATAATGCAGTTTGGCGCGGTACAATGGAGCGGTGTTCTTCTTGCACATTCCGAAAGCCATCTGGGAGGCTACATGGCCGCCCTTAGCGCTTGCACTGCCTCGAGCCACTGGCCACGTTCGCTGGTCCTTTGGGCGGAGCTTCAAGACGAAGGCCGGCCGTTTCGGGTTTTCGATTTGGGGCTTTACCGTGATTCAAGTCCAAGCTATAAACTCAGACCTGTCACCACGAATCAAGATCCACTGAAGGTCGCATACCCATCGACGGGAGCTTGCGGAGTGCAGCAATCGAGGCGTGAGCTCTCCAGAAAGTTTTCGCTGATGAGGGCATAGTAGTTCAATAGCTGATCTTGTCACTAGCAATCGCCTCACTAAGCCTTCAATGACAAAGGCTGCGCTGGCCTAATCAGGCCGATCAACCGTGCCCTCCGTCCCGACAAACATCATTTATGGTCTAAGCCCGAGGGTACTGGTCTATGGGCTTTAATGGAGACTGACTGATGAACAGTCATAGGCCTCCAAGGTCCTTAGACAAATATACAACAGCATACTATACCACGTAACACTGTTCTAAATTTATACGCCTCTATCATCAAGGACCCCATGGCTGACGTGTTGATGTTTGTTGTTGACTTGGTGGTTTGCAGTGCCTGAGAACAAGTGGCGGAAGCTCGATGCAAAGGGCTTGTTCAGGGCTTAGGGACACAAAGTCCCTGGCCCAAAGTAAAACCTCTCCCCCCGGGAACCCGAAGCCCTGTTGATATTCGGAGCATTCGGAGGCCTGTTCTCCTGCTGGGCTGTGGCAGGAGGCACTGTATCATTTTCTGCGCCTCGGCAAAATCCCAGAAACTCCAGGCCGACACAAAGCACTGGAGTGACCATACGAGGGGATTCCGAACCTGGACCCTGAACAGGAGCCATCCCAACATCGGAAGAAACGAACAAAGCAAAAAGCAATGATAGCTAGTGAAAGGATGTAAACAGGGTCTCCCGCTTTGCAAACACCACCAACCACACACACACACACACACCCTAAACTTTGAAAGTCCGAGTCCTCAAAAGGGTGGGATGTCGGCTGTAGCGTTCAACTTCTCGGTTTCGCCCGCTTAGGGTGCGAAGTCTCGTATTGTGCGGGTTGTTGTAGTTGCAAGGAGTAGGTAGTTGGCCTCGACAGACATTTCGGATTGTTTGCGAAGTCTGGCATTTACAGGGATTGAGGGGGTTGAAGTTAGGGACAGGCAGGAGCCAATTTCGTACTTCGGAAACTGCAGGTTTAGGGGTTCACGTCCCTGAACTTTCTTCACATTCCCACAGCCAGTGCCCCGTGGCTCGTCACCTTAAGCTCCGAAGAAGAGCTCACTTCATCAGTATGCCCCCTCCATGGCGACCGCAGGCTAAAACAACCGCAAGGTTTATGAAGCGGCGAGAGTGGAAAAAAAAAACACCCAGCTCTCCGTCAAGAGAATAAGACTTCTGCATGGGCAGGGCACGGGAGAGCATTGTACTTGACTAAACATCCTCATCACATGCGCCAACCCTTTACAGCATCATGAATCCTACAGTCCGCAAGATTATCCGGCGCCCTGACGGAACCCGCGGACCACAAGCCTTGAACTAAACAGATCGAGCGGGCCGGTTGCCGACTCGGACGACGCCCTGCGCCAAGGTGTGATCAAGGCACCAACGACACGGAATAGGATTTTGAGGCATGGTATAGCACAATCATATTCAGGATCAGTCCTTCTGAAGCAATACTGTTCATTGCGATTTTTTAAGGCCCCTATGTTGAGGCTTTGGGACTGAAGCGGGAGGGTTGATCGATGCAGGGTCAAAGCCGAGCCCGAAGCCCCAACCCTTGTACACACAGGCACACACGCATACGCACACACATGGAAGTCTTAACCATGTACCATAGAGCCTACGCCCAGACCTGACTGCATTCTGTCTACTAGTGTACTCTTCCCAATCTGGCAGGCAACTTATCAAACCTGAATCTCTCAAACCCAAGAACCCTTTGTTGATTGAGTGTTTGCAAGCCTCCGGTCGAAGATTCATGAGGTCCTGCTACGACGGGACTAGCACTGTCACTAGAAACCCTAAGCTCTATGCCTCAGTACCCCTCGGTCCACACCTGACCTAGTGTGCAGGAAGTAGCGTCTGCAGTGGCTTCTGCCTATGTACGCTCTCAGGTTGAGGCCGTAGCCAGCTTCATGAGATAAAGGTTCATGGCTGAAAGGGTGAAATGTTTTAAGGTCGCTGAAGCTAAATGCACAATGAATCCTGTCTGCCCCACGCGCATACAGCGGCCTGGCACAGTGTGCTAGATTTTTTGAGTTCGGGGTTTACCATTTGTGGAATAAGCCATACCTGTAGCTCCCAGATAGCTAGGGTAAGTAGCGTCGACGCTGTGGCCCTGCAGAACCCGAACATCGGATACCTTGATCCCTGTCGGATAGGCCTTGGTTCGGGAGTGTAACGCACAATGGGGCCCGGCACAGGCCTCAATGAATCAGGATACCGAGCAGATGGACCCCTAAGCAAGGTAACCCGGGTTTTGAGAAGTCCCCATTTTCTCCAGGTGCTGGCGCAGGCAGCGCAGACTTCCCAAGCAGTAGCACTGTACAGACTGCTGGAGGCGCCCTCGCTTTGTGTCTTTGTGGGTGAAGGTTCGGGGATCTGAGGGGTTTGGGCGGTCGGTGCGTTTTGAGGAAGAAGTATGACACTTCCTGTAGCACGATAAGAGTAAAACTACCAAAAAAGATAGGTGATGGCAGTGATAAGGGTTCAGCAGATGGGAGTTGTTCAACGCTCCTCCACTTGAGGCAAACATCCATCGAAGAGCCTCATGTTGAACTTGCATGAATCTACTCCGGAGTACCTGCACAGGAGCTTCTTGTTCTGGGGTCTGGAATGCAGGGCTTGCGGGATTGCAAACCAAATTCATAAGGCCGAGTGAGCTCTCCGAGCTCCCTGCAAAAACACCCAATCCCTCAAAGAAGCCGGATCTGTATGCCATCCGGCGCTGACCCTCGACAACACCTCCTAGGGATTCATGCCAACAAGGATCTCATGATGTCACAATGAGAATAGTAACCATAGTCATAATCATCGCAATATCAATAGTAATCTTAATTATTGGAAATAGAGTCACCAACCAATTTCATAATGATAATAACAGTATCCGGAGTAATCTTAGTCTTCGACATCGTTTACAGCTGAAGCTGTCCAGTTAGTTGCCTACCAAAGCCCACGCAAGGATGCCTCCGGACGTTTGCGCTGCGAGCGAGAAAGAGCGAGAGAGAGAGAGAGAGAGAGAGAGAGTGAGAGACAGACAGAGAGACGGAGAGAGACAGACAGAGAGAGAGAGAGAGAGAGAATCAATCATCATGTTAGGTCGGGGCTCCTATTTTTCAAGTGAAGTCTAGACTTGCTTCCCACTGGTGGCCTTGAAACACCGAGCCCTCACCATGGTTGTGGCAGGAGGAGAAGCTTTATCAGCCCTGGAAGACAGCGCCGCAGGTCTGCAGGAGCTTTAGGATTCAGGATTTAGGAGCTTAATGGTTTAGGGTGTGAGTGCTGGCCTTCCCTGCCTCCCACACCCAACACCTTCTAGGTTTACACTAAGCGGTAACCTGAAGTAGAGTGGCGGATCTCTTGCCATGAACCCTGAGTTTGCAACCACAAACTCCCACACGCTCAAATGACGTCTATGTGAACCCGAAAAGCCCCTTCAGATGACCCGAACAAGAGAGCCTTCTACAGATTCTACGGGTAGCATGGAGTCTAGAATGACGAGCTACTGATGACGATGACGATGACTGGTAGGTTGAGTGGGAAGATAACGATGTCATTCTGTCGCTGCCGCTGGGGAAAAAGAAGGAGAAAAGGCTCAAGCCGAGGATCAATCTGGGCTCAGTAGAAGGCTACGAGTGCCGTTGTAAACGATGGTGATGAGAATGACAACTCTGATGTTGACGCTGACGATCTGTTTTTTGTGCGTGTGGTGTTCGTGAAACAGGACATCATGGTCATCCTAGTGCCGGCAGAGCGGCCGAGAATCTTAGATCGTGTGTGATCGAATGGAACGGCAGTTCTTTGACAAATGACCCTGAGCCATGAGCCCTAGAAGGCCTGTACTTCAACATCCTAAGCCTTAAACTCCCAAGGAACCTTCTCGATCTCCATGGGATGACCGTCGAAGTCGCGCTTGTGGCCACGTTTTCTGCGCTGCTCACGCGGTCGCTGGAGGATGCGAAGAGGCGCGCAAGCAAAGCATTCTGAATGTGTATCCGAGGGTACCTCAACTCAAAGTCCCTAAGCCCACAGACTCTAATCTTAGACCCCAGAAGAGGGGTCAGCCTACCCCGGAAATCTTCGGCCGAAGTTGAGGCCGCCTTTGGGGCTCATTGTCGGCCGCGGCATTCACTCGGACGAGGGCGTTGCCATCCTGAAGCCTCTGCTGCAGGAGGCCCTTTTGCGCGAGAGATGAGACTTCCTTAAAGTTTAGGGTTCCGGAAGGTCGCAAAGGAGGTTGCTCCTTTAAGGCCGTCAGGATTCTGGGGTTACCGGGTAGGGATTCGATTCAGGGTTCTGAATGCTCCGTTCAAGGAAGTAGGTTTGAGAGTTGAGGGTTCAAAGGTTAAGGGCCTTTGAGCGTGTATGACAAAGACTTCGGCTAGGTGTTGGATCTTCTGAATCAGTTCTAGGACAGAACCGAATCACTGAGAGCTACAAGGCAATCATAGCATCCTGCGTGGCTGCAGTAATCTTGCCGGCTGGGTTGCAACCTTTGGTTTCTGGATTGTTCGGTTGTTCCTTTCGTGACATCCCGACCTAACCTCCTATCGGGGTCCCACGTCCGACACCTCCATGAATCCTGAATTGAATGGTCCGAGCTGTCCGAGTCCTGAAACATTCGCATCACGCGTGCCCCGACTCACGCCTCGTTCACTGCCTTTTTGCTTCCCACCAAACTGAGCCTACGCGCGAAGCTTGTCTCGCACATAAATCGCCGAAGAGTTCCATGGGACTGGGCAGTGAAGGTAAAGAGCCCTACTCCTCGGGCTTCAAGTATGACCGACACGCGCATGCTTCAAGGAGTCCAACACATCGTATCATCGCCATCACTATCTGCGTACTGGACAGTCACATAGACGACAAGAGCAACATCACTAAGGGCCCACCACAGCAACTCCAGACAAAAGCAATCAAACAACCAACCAAGCATCAGCAAAACAAGTACAGACGAGAAGCACAATCGTCGTCACCACCAGCAGCCGCAGAAGTGCCCGCTGGAAACAAGCAGTGACAGAGTCTTCAGCCATCGACAACTAACGCTTTCTTGGTAGGTTATGCATGAGTCTGGGCGAAACTAGGTTCTGCGTTGAACACAACAACGATGTCTGCCAGAACTGTTTGGTTCCACGATGTTTTCCACGGATCATCAGGCTCTGCCCGTAATTAGTCTGCCTGTGTAATTAGTCTGACCGGCAGCATAAACGAGTAGGCTTCCTGATCCCCGTGACCTGAAGCCTTTGAAGGTGCTCTCGGAGCTTGGGGTTCCTTGGAAGGAGGTGACAGATGGCAGGCGCACACGCGCGGGGTCTGGCGGCGGTGGCGCTGCCCGCGACGACCACTGTGATGATGATGATGTTGATGTCAACGATGATGACGACGAAGAAGATGATGATTATCTGCAGGGGAGTGGTTTTCCTAGTGTCGATGGGTCTATGATGCCGGTGATGTTGACGCTGGGGCTGTCTTGTGCCTTACGTCTCCGTCATCTTCGGGTTCTCACTGCCGCGGTGCGGGCTCATGCCGGACGGAACCCTGCCCCGATGCTGCTTGTGGCTTGACCTGGTGCGCCGGGGCCCTCTGCCTCTGAGTCATATTTCCCACCCCTCCTCACCCCATGCATGTTTGCGGCAGAAGAGCAATGCCTATAGGTGTGGACAAGAAACCGGAGCTTGCCTAGCAGGAATCAATTGAATAACAAGCTCGCTTAGCTGCTAGACATCACACCCCATGCGAAGAAGAGCAACAGCAACAACTTGAATAGCAGGAGCAAAATTGGATATTACAAGCACAGCACCGATGAGATGACAATTGGCAGCACAAGTACGTTTCTGTTTGGAGGGGTACACTTCAAGGGAGTCGCAGGCATCATTCCTGCTGCTTCCCGTAATTCTTTGCCACGCCATGCTCCTGCTGCCAGGATCTACATTTCCGCCTCGGAAGCACTGTTGCCAGCCGGCTCGCAGCCAAAACGGACGCTGCTGTCACGAATAGGATGAAGGCATGTAGGTCCTAGCAAGATTTGCTGCAGGTCCTGAGACCGACTCGCAATTCGTCACCAAGCCTCATTGGATGTGATTAGGCCTTCGTTTCTCCTCTTTCTCCGCATTGGCATGAATGCGAAGCCTCCTCGTTTTACAACTCTATTTTTAGAACCTGAGGCCATGACAATCTCCGAAGAACGAACAGACTCGAAGCCCTGAAGCCAGGTCTTATCAACAACGAATCAACACCGAAGCCTGCGATCAGGATCAAGCCACACCTTGACCCACACTAAACCGCCCCGGTTCCCTTGACCCCCAAGAGTTTCCTAAGCCTGGACCCGGAAGCTTCAACTCCGAGCCGAAGCCCCATGCCTCGCACCCTGAGCCATGATCTTTGCCAGAAGAGGAAAGAATCGGAAAAAGGAGTAGAGGTCAGACTCGGGGTTTTTTGTCCCAAAACCCAGGTTTCAAGATCGAGGGGTCTTCTGCACCTCCGTTCTTGTCTTGAGTCTTGAGGCCAGGAGTTCCAGACTCCCTTGGAAGCCCAATAACCTCTGGAACTGGTGCATGCCCTTGCAGAACTGTAGTAGAGTAGGCCATTACATGGCTGACTGGGCTCCCTCCTCATGCTGCAGTTTCAGCTCCAGTAGGGCCATGAACAGAAGGCGCATGCAAGAAGCCAGGAACCAAGCGAAGCCTCTGGAACTCGGCAGCTCCATTCAAACAGGCACTTACGTCTGCTAGCTTCACGTTGCAGGGCTGGCTTGTTGCTTCTTATGAAGCATGAGCAAAGCCCGAAACCCAAGCCCATTATGCTCCACAACCCCATAAACTTGCCCAACAATCCTGAAATCGAAGTAGCTGCAAAGATGTGGAGAGTCCTGGCCTGAGCCGCGGCAGCCAGCACCGTCATACCCCTTCCGTGCCGGCAGCATGGTCTTTCTGCCCGGAACTCATTCTGCTGATACGGGCCTTTTCTTTGGGATTCCAGGGCTTATGGGCTCAGGGTCTCGGGCTCACAGTTGAGGTAGGGTGGTGTCCGGGCTCGGGATTGTAATGCAGATGTTAGGGTTTATTGGGGGGCTCTGACGAGTGTAATAGAGTGAGGCGAGTTGAGGACCCTCAGTTTTCCTAAGCCACACCTGACAGACCTGAACTCTGCACTTACCAACTCAAAGCATGCGCTTCTGCAGGTACGTGGCCACCTTTGTCGTCGGCTTTGCTGCCATTGCGCTGTGGGTAGGGGGCCTTAGAAGTCGCCCCAAAGCCCAAACTTGCGGTCAGCTTCAGCTTCGGCCTCGAAAGACTTGGGGCTGAGCTTCGGTGGAGTTTGGCAACCGATTTGGAGAATTGCAAGGATTTTGTGGGCCCATGGCCCGAAGGCCTCAGAATCCCCAGTACGACCAAAAAGAGTCGATCTGCATAAGTTGCGCGCATTACTGTTTGTAGTTGTACCATTCTGCGACGAGTTCAAGCAATGCGCAAAACCTGTCGTAAAGCCGGTCTCTTTGACACCCACACGGAACTACAAGCTTGAGCTTGGCGTTGGTGTATACGCGCAGTAATTGACACGGAACCCACACAGTGAAAAACAGCTGCATGGCCGCAACGTCCTTTACAGGGGGCTGGGTGTAGTTTGGGCCTGAGCATTGAGGAATTGCGTCTTCGGAAGTGTCTGGGCGTTTCTAGGCATGATGGCATGCAAGGATGGTGTGTGAGTGTCTCTCGCATGCACTACTCGTAGCTGTGTTCCTTTGAGATGCTGTCGTCGAAGCACTTGGTGTCAGTGTGACGACAGTATATCGACGCTGACGATGTTGACGATAACGATGATGATGGGGTGAGGATGGCCAGATTTCTGATACATGTGGTGGTACCGATTCTGGTCGCCTCGCAAGATCTTGGCACACGAAGCATTAGCCTGATGATCTGCTTGCTGCTGTGATGCTTCTTGCTAACCCTAGCACCCTAAAGACCCAAAGACCCCAAACCCTAAAACCTGCTATCTGCTATCATCTTTACTTCGCGGTCTGTGGGGTTTGGCTTGAGGTCATTCTGAATCCGGGCAAGGAAGAGAAGCTGAAGGGCGAGGACCCAGATGCTTTGGATTGAGTGTTCACGCACCCCCTACCCCCCTAACGACGAAGGTTTCAGCAGAAAGAAGAGTAAGATGCTAATGATGATGGGAATGGTAACCCGTGCGCAAAACCTTAAATCCCAAATCCAAGATTCTGATTGTTGCTGCTGTACTCCTGATGGGGCGAGCGTTGCGGATCTTTCCGGGACGTATTTCGGGTCGGGGGCTTCGATAAGGATTCTAGCACGGATGCTACAAGAACAAACAGGGTTTAGGTTCGAGGTTTCGGTTGCGAGGTGATGGGCTGTTATGCCAGGAGGTCTCTCTTCGAAGCAGACGCAGTGTTTTGCAACCCGGAACTGAAAACCCTCAAGCCCTGAAGCCTCAATCCACGAGGCCGGCCTTGCAGCCTCAAACCCTCCTGAAGCCCTAAACCCTAAATCAAAAAACACTTACATCCTAAACCCCGGATCCTAAACCCTAAACCCTCCAAAGCCTTCATGTTAAAGAGACTCTGACGTCGACCGCACGGCCGATTGGCTCAAAAGGGGGTCAGGCTTTGCTGACATAGCCTTTGGTTGAAACGCCAAGGCAGCGGATATACTGCATATATATATATATGTGTGTGAGTACAGATATAAATATAGTACAAGATCATATAGTAGAATATGGTACAATGTCATATCACATCACAGCACCTCCTGTCATGTAGCACCATAGCTACAACATCAAATAGTGATATATGATGTCATGTAACTTTCCATCGTTTCATTATATGTACCAAAATGTACCCTGGCATAATGTAGTATGTGTCAATGTTGGGCGCTTGAATCAGCGCAGGCACCTTAAACCCTACATCCTCAGAGCCCAAACTCCTGAGCCTGCGAGCCTACACCCTGAGCATCCTTTATAGGAGCCCCGAAAGTAGTCTCAAAGGAACCCTTCATTTAAAGACCCGGTCAAACCTCGGAGGCGCTGAACCCCTGACCGTAAAGAAGAGCGCAGAGTGTCGGGCGCAGGGCTGGAGGTTCAGGTTTGAATGTATGCTAAGGGGCATATAGGATGCAGGGGTTAAGGTTTCAGAAGCAGAAGGCTGAGGGGTTGAGACTGACGAGATTAGACGTATGCCTTCGTCATCAAAGCTCGGTCCTTGGCTTCAAAGGCTTTAGAGCCTACTTCCGGGTTAGGATTCCGAGTCCAGCCAATCCTCTGGACTAAACCCGAACCGTTGTCAATTATTCCTCCCCGAACTGTAGTAGATGAAAAACCTTTGCCTGCACAGGTCATGGCAGTGCGGCTGCAATATCGTGGCACATTCATCCATACGGATCCGGGAGACACCGCCAAAAGGTCTCAGAAACTTGGAAACGAAAAGGGTTGTAAAGGGGGCTCAGGTGTACTGGAAGACGGTGTATGAGCAGCACATGATGTTCATAGCAAGGCACATATGCCAACGTTTCTGCGCAAGCGACATCGCACCCCATGCCAAGAAAGTTTCGGCTTGTGATTTGTGAAGCACTTCCCGGGATCCTGTCGAACCCAAAGCCTGGGCCTGACTCGGATGACACTTGCTCCGGCGATACTGCGGTGCATCGCACAGGCGACTCACTCGGAATGAAGGGTACATCATGTTTGGTTTGCACAATCATGGGATCCCCAGGGTGAGTATGAAGGCAATAGCCAAAGATCCTAAGCATGCATAGGATCTGTTGATCCGAGGATTTGGGAATTGGGCTTGGGCGTCAGAAATTCAGTCAAACATTAGGGTAAAGGTGATTAAAAAAGCTCGCCCCTAGGCCTTGAAAATGGGCGTGTTGGGGTTGTTCCTTAGTGCCTGCCACATGTGTTCTGCAGGGGTACTCGGACTGACCGAAGCCACGACCTAGTGTTCTGGTGTACCAGTGTTCTTGCCTGCACAGTGGTGATGCAGAAGCTGATCATGACTGTTGCTCGTGGAATTTGCGGAGTTTCTGAGACTTCTCGAAGTCCTGAAGCCCACGTAGAGTGCTTGGAAAGACTGGCAGCTTGGGGGCCTGCAGAAGAGACGCCGATCCCCAACCTGTCGCTCAGGAGTTGTCCCCCTCTCGGCACGCGAATGCAACCACTGCGTCCTACGGACGCCAGGGTTGCAGAGTACATCAAGGACCGGCGGAGAGTAACCTTAGTTTAGTGGACCATATACAAAGTAGGTCTACACTGATCCGTATAGTAGCCCCGCACAGCAAAATTTCATACTCACCTTGGAAGCCTGATTTGTTTTGTCGTGGCCGGGGTGGAGGCAGTGTGCTTTTTGGAGGCGTAGAGAGCCGCAGGTGTTCAGCTTTGGGGGTTGAAGTTGGGAGACAAGTATGGTCGATACACAAGCCCCAGGATATTTTGGAAGTTTCCATTCAGGCTTGTTTTGGTACATATCTCTCAAAACCTCAATGCCATCGGGTTGTCGTTGTCCTACGCCTACGCCTTAAACAATCGATTCGATACCCTAGAACAGGTGATTTTG